TCAACTCTTGTGTGCATCCTGTAAACTCTAAAATAGCTTTAACCCTTGGAATTACTATTGACTAAAACAAACACTCTGTCACAAAGTGGCCAAAAATACCAGGTGCCACCAGGAGGTCTATCAGTGGGGCCAGGACACTAGAAGCCCCCCCACTGGTTCCCCCCCCCCCAAGCACCAAGAATACAGTGCATCATCTGCCCCAGCCTGTGAGTTCCTATCTATACCTTGTGGCGAATAGCCACTGATGGACCTCTGCTCCATATGTTTATCCAGTTCCCTCTTGAAGCTGTCCATGCTTATAGCCGCCACCACCTCCTGTGGCAGTGAATTCCATGACTTCCTTTTATCTGTTCTAACCCGACCGTTCAGCAATTTCATGGAGTGCCCACGAGTTCTTGTATTGTGAGAAAGGGAGAAAAGTACCTCTTTACCTGCTAGAAATTGCAAGTAGATAAATAGGTACCACTTCAGTGGGACGGTAACAGCATTCCGTGTGCCTTGGTGTTTAGTCATGCCAGCCACATGACCACGGAAACGTCTTTGGACAGCGCTGGCTCTTCGGCTTTGAAACGGAGATGAGCACCGCAACCCTAGAGTTGGATTCGACTGGCTTTTGAGCAAGGGAACCTTTACCTCTTTACCTGCTCTATCCTGAAGTAATAGAATGACTTCCAAGTGATTTCTCGTCTCTCTTCCAAGATGGAATTTTAAGTCTCACTGGTTTAGAGAGACATGTACATCAGATTGCAATGGCGAAAATTTCCCAGAGGTGGTGATCACGAGACATGAGCAGGACGCTTTGATGTTCCAATTTTCGCAAACAGCTAAAAGTGTTCAGGTGGGTAGCCAGGTTGGTCTGAAGCAAGAGAATAAAGTTTGAGCCCAGCAGCACCTTGAAGACCAACAAAGTTTTATCCACGATATAAGCTTTCCTGTGCGTACCGTCACAGCATCACACGTGTATCTATGACAACGAAAGAAATAAAATAGCTGTGTTGGTCTGCAGTAGACTAGTTAGATTTGAGTCCAATAGCACCTTAGAGACCAGCAAGAGTTTCAGGGTATACGCCAGAGGTTGCCAACATGGTGCCCATGGGCACCATAGCAACCACCACGGACTTTTCGGGTACCACCACCACATGTTTGTAGGAAGTGGGCAGGGCCAGGCAGGGCTTTTGCCCAGCAAGTTTCTGATTGACTATTGGAGATCTGATTGGCTATGCAGCTATTCCCACAGTTTGGTGTAGTGGTTAAATGCACAAACTCTAATCCGGAAAAACTGGGTTTGATTCCCCGCTCCTCCACTTGCACCTGCTGGATGACCTTGGGCAAGCCATAGTTCTTTCAGAGGTGTGTTCCCTCAGAGCTCTCTCAGCCCCACCTACCTCACAGGGTGTCTGTTGTGGGGAGGGGGAAGAAAAGGAGTTTGTAAGCTGCTCTGAGACTCCCTTGGGTAGTGAAGGGCGGGGTATAAATCCAATTTCTTCTTCTTCTTCGCAAGGATCTGCACTGTGGTCCTGACGTTAAGCTGTGGTGGCCATTTTGTGGCTGGCTCCACTAGGCTTGCCAAGTCCCCCCGCCCCAGAGGCCCATTCCCCGCCGCTGGCGGATCGGGCCCCGGGGGGAACTCCACCCCCATGTGCATGTCACCCGGAAGTGATGCGGGGACGCCGGGGATGCTGGGGGCGGGGCCACGGTCATCCAAGGGAAAACTCTATGGTTTTCCCTTGGATGGTCCTGGCCCCGCCCCCAGCGTGCCCGGCGTACCCGCATCCCTTCCGGGTGACGTAGATGCGGCGCACAAATGCACTCAAGACGCCAGCTGGGAGTCCCCCGCTGCGGTAAGTTTCTGACTTGGCAACCCTAGGCTCCACCTCCTGCAGCCACCATTTTGTGGCAAGAAAAAAAATGCACGTGCCCAAATTTAAACACCAAAAAAAATAAATCAATGATTTAATAAATTATATAAATATGACATATATAGTACTCAGAACAAGTTTTCCTATGACACAATCAATGGACAGGTAGAAATTCACAGGTAAAGTTAATCACAGGTAGAAATTCACAGGTGGAGTTTTTCCAAAAACGATTTGTAATGAGGAATTCAAAAAAAGTCCTTGAACTGTAAGGATGTGGTAGTGTCTCTGCCAGCTGACTCCACGGAATAAATCCGTTTCAATAATTTTTTCAAGAATCATGCTGGGTTCAACATTTCAAAGATACATGTAGCCATCCATAAAGTATATTCAGATAACAGCAATCCTCAGTGATTCCCAGGGGAGAATCAATCATTTCGTGGAACCTCCCTTCTAAATTCTGAAGGGTTTCACCACTCTGCCAAAGGAGATTAACTTTACCTGTGAATTTCTACCTGTCCATTGATTGTGTCATAGGAAAATTTGTTCTGAGTACTATATATGTCATATTTATATAATTGATTAAATCATTGATATATATATTTTTGGTGTTTAAATTTGGGCGCGTGCATTCCCCCCCCCGTTTACATCTGTTGCGGTGCCACTGCCTTTCATCTTGGATACCATTTTGGGGCTGCCATGTTGTCGCTGTGCTCAGAAAGGTTGGGGACCCCTGGTCAGAGCTCTGTGTCTGATGAAGGGAGCATCGACTCTCGAAAACTGACACCCTGAAGATCTCGTTGTCCTCGAAGGCGCTGCTGGACTCGAGGCTGACGGAAAGAACAATCCATCCCTGCAGGACCTTTGCAGCTGGATCTCTGTGCATTCCTTCTGCAGGTGGTCACGTTTCCTTCGGGTGCAAGGACTGCTCATTGTGTCAGTAGCAAAGAGCTCACAAGTGGGTCTGCTGGATCTGACCCCTGATGTGTAGAGTACAGTTATAGGGGCCCTTTGACTAGTAACATCAGCAAAAAAGAGAGACGGAATGGAGCTGGAAATGTCTGGTCCAGATCCAGTGTTCCCTCTAAGCTGAGTTAGTGTGAGCTAGCTCACAGTTTTTTAGCCTCTGGCTCACACATTTTTGTCTTAGCTCAGGAAGGATGGGGCTCCAGTCGAGCAAACGAATTTATGCAGTAGCCAAATCACCTGCTCACAATTTTAATGCCAATAGCTCACAAAGTAGAATTTTTGCTCACAGGGCTTAGAGGGAACGTCATATCTGTCATAAAATCACCTAGGCGAGGTTAATTTTATTGCGAAATGTTAACTGCAGATGGGGGCAGAGACTGGGGTGGGGGTCAGATGCCAGAATGCTGCCCCTGTGTTCCGTTGAGCCCCAATGCCAGGTATAGTTGGGGTGGTGGTGCCCTATTCAGCAGGGAGGCAAACATTACTTTGTACGTGTCCAGAGGAACTCTCTTATTTACTGTGTCACTGCATTCTTTTTGTGTGTGCTGGGTTGAGGCCAAGGTATTGAAATAAGGATGTAGAGGGATGAAGAACGGCACAAGCTTCTGTGTAGGGTAGAGTGAGCAGGAATAACTCAAAAAGGAAATAAAATTCATAATGTAGAAAACAACGTCATGCTTATGGGCAATATCAAGCAGCACGAAAAACCTTTTACATCTGAGTTTCCGTAGTGTAGCGGTTATCACGTTCGCCTCACACGCGAAAGGTCCCCGGTTCGATCCCGGGCGGAAACATCCTTTTAAACAATTTGTCCTACTTCAGTTATATCTGTATAAAATCCATATAGACGTATAGAAGCAACCTTTTCAAGTTGTTGCAGGTCAGTGCTTTTGTAGCTGAGGTAATCCGGGATTTTAAATTGAATTGCACTCTCGCCTTCCACTCATTTTCTTTTTACGTATATATTTTATGTAGAAAAGGTAGAGGATTCCTGTCGAGGTGGTATTACCACGCTGCCTCCTGACCACTTGTATGGTGTTAAATAATATTTTCCTTAACTAAGTGACGGAAGGGAAAAAGGAGTGCAATAAATGAACCGTCAACCTCTTGCAAGCTGGAGAATATAATTTTTTCAAATTGTATTTATGATAAGAGTTAATGGGGTGGTAAAAAATTCATGCGTTGGCCGGGAATCGAACCCGGGTCAACTGCTTGGAAGGCAGCTATGCTAACCACTATACCACCAACGCGTTTCTGGTTTCCTTGTTTCCTTTTGTTCCTATCAGGAAGTGTGACAAGCCGGATGGTACCATTCTAGTATACAAGAACTGAAAGCAAATCGACCGTTTTTAAAGAGAAGGATAATATCGCTTATTCACCTGAAGATGTTTCTGAGATTATCTATTATCATAAAAGTGGGCAGTCTATTTCTAGCATTCCCTCATCTATCCTCCTTTAAATGTGACACAGTGCCCCCCCCCCTTCCACTGAGTGGCGCCGTCCTCCGTTCTCCTTAGTTTTACGCTCTCCTTCTAACGCGTGTTTACGTCACAGTCGGTCCTCGGCTGTTAAATGGTCCCGCCTTCTCTGTTTCCACAGCAACGCCTTCATTCTTCCCCTGTTCGCTTGGACAATGGTTTCATCCGAGTATTTGGGGAGTATTTTTCACACGAACATTAAAAAACATTATTTTATTTGTAGCCTTACATAGCTATAGTAATGGTGATATACTTTTATAAAGGCAGATGTTTATAGTGTATATTACTCCTATTTAACAATTTCTCATAGTTTATATTTTTTGTAGCTTATATTTTGTATATTTCTATTTTTTTTACACAGTCTCAACCCTTCAGCTCCCCCTTTTCTGACGAATAATTCCCCCCTTTCCCCCCTTTTCCTGCAACGTTTTTTAATTCCTCCAGCCACCCCCGTGCCAGTCCAGCCAGTGGTTCCACCCAAGCGTCACGGAGGCAACCCCCCCCCCCCCTCATCAATGGTTGCGCCTTGGTGTCGCTCTCTTGAGAGAGGAATAGCGCGCGCGCATATAGATAGAGGCTCGGCCCCGCCCCATTTTCGTCATTCCCAAGCCCGGACGGACTCCCGGCCCCGCCCACTTTCCTTTCCGAGAGAGAAAAGTGCCCCGAACTTCCGGTTCCGGCGCAAAGGTCGCGCTGGGAGGCTCAAGGAGGCCGGCGTTTTCCCTTCCCCCCTTCCCCTGTTTCTCGGAGTTTCTCGGCCTCCAGGAAGGGAAATGGACCGGGACTGAAGGCGGCTCCGCGTGATCCCCGACCCCTTCCCTCCCCCCCTTTCCCCGACTCGGAGAAGCCTCGCAGTGGGGGAAAAGCTGCTCTGAGTGAGTCAGGGAATGATTGTCGGGTTGGAGGGCGGAGCTCGTGTTGTGGGCCACTCCCTCGAGAGGCTGGGCTGGACCCCCTCCTCTTTTTCAAAGGGGAGAGGAGGAGGGTCTCTGGCCACGCCCTCGGAGCCTGCGGTGGGTGTCTCTTGGCCACGCCTCCTAGCCATTGACCCGCCCCCAGACTTGATTTCGGCACGCCCTCCCTGGAGAGAATGAATGGGGGCTGTTGTGGCCACGCCTCGTCCTGAGTTCTAATGATGCCTTTGCCCACGCCCACTTCAGGGCAGGGGAGGTGGTTGACTCGCCTCTCAGCTTCTTTGCAAGGTTTTGGTCCTAGTTGAGCAGTTGTCCTTAGCCACCCTTTTAGTGAGCTTTGTGCCCCATAGGCTGGAGAGCGTAAGGTTGGGGTGCACCCCCCCTACATAATTCGGGGCTGCTAACTGTCTTTCCCACCCTGACTTCGATAGCCCAGGGTAGCCCAATCTCACCAGCACTCAGAAGCTAAGCAGGGTCGGCCCTGGTTAGTCCTTGGATCCGAGACCACCAAGGAAGTCCAGGGTTTCTACATGGAGGCACCTCTGTTTGTCTCATGGCACCTGAGTGGCCTAGGCAAGCCTGATCTCATTAGATCTGGGAAGCAAGCAGATGGGAGACCGCCAAGCAAGTCAAGGCCCTCTTAGGCAGAGGCAGGCAGTGGCAAACCACCTCTGTTCATCTGACCTGACCTGGATAGCCCAGGCTAGCCCAATCTCATCAGCACTCAGTAGCTAAACAGGGTTGGCACTGGTTAGTCCTTGGGCGGGAGACCACCAAGGAATTCCAGGTTTGCTGTGCAGAGGAAGGCAGTGTTAAGCTGCCTCTGAATGTCCGTTGTCTTGAAAACCCTCAGAAGCCGCCGTAAATTGGCTGCAGCTAGACAGCAAAACAAAACACCGCCTCTTCTCCCTTTCCTATCTGGTTTTCTACTGCCTGATTTGACTTTGACTTTTGCTTCCCATGGAACTCCACCCACTCTGTTGCTGATGGGTTGGTATAGGTAGAATGAGTAAGGGTCTTGCTGAAGGAGAATCTAGGGGTCCTAAAATGAAGACTTTGACCCCAGGCGCTCTGGCACATGTCCTCCAGAGCTAGCTGCTTGGTCCCCTGCCTCCCACTGGGAGTCAGAATGAAGCATCACTCTGTCTTTGCAAACAGAAGTGGGATCCTTTTGGGCATGATTGCCAATATGGGTGTGCTCAAGGCCACCTTTTGGATCTGCTTCCTGTGAAATTCTCCAAGTTGGCCTGCTTTGCCTTCCAATACTGCCAACTCCCATCAGCTCAAGGCCTTGGTTTTTTGCCTAAGGAACTCCGTGCCTTGTTGAGGATAGGCCTTTTTGACCTCGCTTGCTATGTCCTAGTTTGTGGTGAGCTTGGAAGGTGGAGACAGCCACGTAGAAGAGCGGGAGCTGCCCCATACCTTTTCTTTCCTATTCCTCCAAAATTGCATCACTCCTGGGTTTTTTGTGGCTGATACGGAGTCGTAAGCCATACCGTCACCTCTTGATGCATGAGGCTGTCTTTGCTGTTTCAGTCCAAAGAATTCATCTCCTGTTCTTTTTCTTTCTCCAGTTTCTTATTCTACCCACGGCTTGCCAAGCAGTTGATGCAGAAGGTCAAGAGGGCTCGTCTGGAAAACGAAACTTCGGGAAGTTGGAGAAGGTAATTTTTCTGGACCTCTGTGGGGACAGGGGTGAAGCAGTGGCTTCGGAAACATCGTATGTTTGAAGGGTTAAATGAAAACCCAGTTGCGGATCATCGGGACCGGGAAGTATTGTACCTCTGAATTTTAGACCTTGATCAAGGGCCCAGTTCTCACTGAGGTGGTCTAGTTTGTCCCAGTTCATACTGCAGCTGGGGAGTTTGTGTGCTCCTCCGTGCCAAAACAAAGCCGCTTGCTTCTAAATAGCATGGTGACAAGACTGGGTCTAAGCTAGCCTTCTTAGGACGTTAGCTTTCTATGTGCAGGGATATTTATACAGAGGAGCACTCAGTTACATGAGTCCCACCTGCAGTCAGAAATGGTACAGTCCAGTCACAGGTTGATCACTTTTTCTCAAACCAAGTGGGTCGGTAGATATGTGCAAAGACAATTTTATAAATATGCTTCATGTGTATGCTTTGTTGTACATTCTTTTCTCTTGTGAAGGGGTGGGGTGGGGCTTATGCTGTGATTGTCATTGTCAGGGTGCAGGGAGGGACTTATCAATGACATTTCTGTCTTGCCTTCCTCCAAGGAACCCAAACCAGTTTTCCTCTTTCTCTTATCTCTGGCATCAAATATTGATGGGCCATGTTGCCTGCCAACACCTTTTCTGGTTCCTGCCAAGTGCTTCTAGAAGGTGGGTGTAGTCAGATGGGGCCTTTCCCAGCAAGAGTCCTGATTGCCCACTGGAGATTTGATGCAAACAAACAGAAGAACCAGGCAGTGCAAGAGAGAGATCTCGGAGTTGTAGGAGGTCCACTGGTGGACCTCCTGATGGCACCTGGTATTTCTGGCCACTGTGTGACAGAGTGTTGGACTGGATGGGCCATTGGCCTGATCCAACATTGGCTTCTCTTATGTTCTTATCGAGACAGCTTTGGAATAGTAGCGTGTCAGAGGACAGATTTCAAGATTCAGCCTGAACTGTTTTGAGAAAATCTCTGCGCTTCCCGTCAGGCCCAGATTAAAGTGTAGCTCAATCCCCTGGGAAGTCTTCCTGAGGTTCACTGACATGTTCAGAAGCTGCACATTTCAGGGATGCTTGTGCAGGAGAGCTTCCTGCTGGATTGTAGCCAGGCCTGATTGTCCCGAATGTCAGGCCAAATGTCCTGAATGTCAGGCCTGATTGTCCCGAATGGTACCCAGAATCATTGCCTTGAGGTGGCTGACTTGCCTCTCCTCCTGGTGGCCATCCATCTCACATTCAGAACATACGTTGTTTGCAGGAAATGTCAGTCATTCATGAGCAGTTCTCATGCACAGATGATCTGCAGCCGCTCAGTTTGTGGTGTGTTGGGTCCCCCGTGACAAGCTCTCTGTCGTGGCCTTTGGAAGGAGACAGCATGAAGGGGATAAGGGAGATACCTGTATAAGATTGTAGGGAAATCTACTGTCAGATGTGTTCTGATCCTTTGAGTTACAAACTCTCATTGGATTGTTTGCTTAGCAAGTTTTAAAAGCACGGTGTGATCTGTCGCAGCGACATTCTCCAATCTCTCTCCCCACTCCAGGTTAAAAATTTGGGTCCCAACGCAGATCGGAATCTAAATTTCTTAGTCCAGCTCCTTCTGTTGAGAACCGCTTTCAGTATTTATGTGGAGAAGCCTGTGTGGAGTTTGGATATGATTGGGGTTTAATGCATGTGGGGACATGGTCTGCTAAAACCGCAGCAGGTAGAGCTTTCCCAGGAGTATGTTTATCCCTCCATCAGGTGTTCTCTGCCACCCTTGTCCTCTTAAAACATTCATAGCCTCCTACACAGGTGAGCACAAACAAGCAAACAAGATTTTCAGGATATAAGCTTTTGCGAGTCAGAGCTCCCTGTGTCAGATTGGAAAGCCCGTCCTTTTTTTTCTTATATTGTTGTTTTCTTTGTAAGCTGCCCTGAGCCCGCCTCCGCGGGGTAGGGTGGGGTAAGAATCAAATCAGTCAATAAATATACCCCCAAACCCTTGTCGTCTTCTAAGGTGCTACTGGACTCACGACTGCAGGCCAAGGACAGCTACGATTTGAAATTGTGTGGCAAGAGGGTGAAACTGTTTGACTAGAGGAGTCTTGAGTCCAGTATGGATTTCCTTGCCAGGAGTGAGGGTTACAAACCTCATGACTTGATCCGGGTCGACAAAACCTGGAAAAAGGGGGGGGGGGGAGAGAAACTCAACCCAAGATAAGATTGCGAACCAAAGGGCTAAGCTAACAATGTATATTATAAAAGTACAAATATTTATTAGGGTGTATACATGTTAAAACCTATACTGATGAAAATCTTTATCTAAGTATCAGACTTATAAAAACATCAAATATTAATGCATATGATGGGTAAACACTTTCCTACTGAAGAATATAGTATAGACACACATTCATAGACCTGTATACAAGATCTTTAGTACTCATATATTAAAACCAGAGGTTTTAATATGGGCCATAGGTATAGCCATATCAATTCCACCAATTATTCTGGTAACAGAGATTTCATAGGTCTGAATGTGTGTCCCTCCATTAAGGTAAAGATTCTGTTACCTTGATGGAGGGACACACATTCAGACCTATGAAATCTCTGTTACCAGAATACTTGGTGGAATTGATATGGCTATGCCTATGGCCCATCACTAATATCAGCAATACAATTACAAATATACAAGGAAACAACATCTGGTTTTAATATATGAGTATTAAAGATCTTGTATACAGGTCTATGAATGTGTGTTTATACTATATTGATAGTTGTGACTGACCACTGAGGAAGGCCCTTAGGGGCCGAAACGCGTTTGGTCTGCAGTAGGAAAGTGTTTACCCATCATATGTGTTAATATTTGATAAGTTTTTATAAGTCTGGTACTTAGATAAAGATTTTTATCAGTATAGGTTTTAACATGTATACACCCTAATAAATATTTGTACTCAAACCAGTTCCTTGTGAGTTGTGATTTTGTGTTTACAGCTGTAAGTTCAGGTGAATGCTTTGGAAAATAGGTATGCCAATTTAGTAAGAATCCAAATGTTCACAGTTAAATTGTTGCAAGGGTTTGGGGGTTTTTTGGGGAGGGGAGGCTCCAAGTCTTAGAATCATAGAATCACAGCGTTGGAAGGGACCTCTAGGGTTGTCTGGTCCAACCCCCGGCACAGTCACTTGGGCACAGTCACTGCTTATGAGGAGCTTTGGAGGAAACCCCAGAAGAGCTGTTTGTGGCTGAGCTACTTAACAAGGATCAGGATTACTAAATGTCCCAGAACACGTCTCTGGACCCAGCCTGTGGACTCACTCGGCTTCTCCAGGCCTCAAAACAACCTCCTGGGGCTTTGCATAGTATGGCCTCATGAAACGTTTTAAATTCATTTGCGAGAGCCCACATTTGAAAACGGACTTTCCCCCTCGTCGTTTCAGTCCTGGCAATGAGTGGGATTCTCCTCTCTCATGCTCTGTTTTTCCCCTCTGCCTCCATCCCCACTGGCCTGCTGTTACGCCTGTGCATGTGAGCCAACCTTCCTTAGGTGTCCGACCCTCAGTCGGATCTTGAGACGTGTCCACAAGCACACCCACAGCATTGTTTGAATACTGGCCTGGCCGGCCTTGGAGGCCTGTTCAGGGATTGGGCAGAGCCGGGGTCAAAGGTTGTGTAAATGGAGGCCAGGGCTTTCCCCCCCCAGCTGAACTGGCTCTGGGCATCGGACTTCAGGAAAGATGGCAGCCCCACGCTGTTCAGATTCTTTGGTTGGTAAAGAATTTGGGATGTGGGTTTTCCCTTCTTCCTGATTGGCTCCTTTGCTGTTTCGGAGGACGATCAGATTTCATCACAGCTTCGGTGGGGAGAATCAGATATAAGGTCCACAGATCTTTTTGAAAAGTGTGTCCTTATATCTGATTGCCGCTTAGGTGATTGCTGAAGCACAAAGATTTTGCTAGGGGTGCCGATCAAATTAACCTTTGTGTTTCTGGGATCCTGCTGCTATCTTCTGAGCAACTGTGCGGGCCTCTTCCTACATTACGGGGTATGCAGGTTGGGTCTGAGGACCCCACCTTATATTCCGTGTAACAGATGTGAGTTGTGCTGTGGGCTGTCCTCCTTTCCAGTGTGCAGGATGTGCACGGATCGGAAACGTGGACCACAATAGTGCCATCATCTGAATCGGGCAAGGGGGCCTCAAGGCATAGATTTAGGGCACCACAGGATTCAGGCACTGTAGTGATGTATTTTATCGAGCATCTTCTGCAGGAACTGCTTCAGAACAGTCCTGCTGGATCAGAGCACTGGCCCGCCTTGTCCAGCAGACTGGTTCCTGCAGCGGCCAGCCAAGATGCCCTTGGAACGCCCGGGGGCAAAAAGGCCAAACCCTCCCCCGTTGCTGCCTCCACCCCCAACAACTGGTTTTCTGAAAACGGACATTCCGTTTTAGCAATCCGGTCTAACAGCCAGCTGTTGAAGTCCTTCAATTCTGTGGATTTGTCTAGTCTTTTAAAAATCATGTCAGCTGGTGGCTCCCGTTAGGGCAGCAACCTTGAATTGGGCTTGGGAGTGGTAGCCGGTGTAATTGCTGTAAAATCAGGGCAACACAGTCCTGATAGCTGGCCCGGAGCAGCAGTCTAGCCGGAGCGTTCTGTCCTAACCGCAGCTTCTCGACACTGTACGTATGACACAACGCTCTGTCATTGGATGAGACCTCTGTGGGGGGAGGCTTTTCCCAAGCAGAAAACTGACCTGTGTATGCAGGGAACTTTTTGTATGGAGAAAAGTTCTGTCACACAGCTCACGTGAAGTGTACAGCTCAGATGTCTGAGAGATCTAGGCCAGAGTCTTTATCAGCGGTTTTATCAGAGCCATTTTGGTGTCATGGTTAAGTGCGCGGACTCTAATATGGGCGAACCGGGTTTGATTCCCCACTCCTCCGCTTGCACCTGGCTGGATGACCTTGGGCAAGCCGTAGTTCTGATAAGAGCTGTTCTTGGAAAAAGAGCCATTTCTGTCAAGAGCTCCCTCAGCCCCACCTACCTCACAGGGTGTCTGTTGTGGGGAGGGGAAGGGAAAGGAGTTTGTAAGCCGCTCTGAGACACCTTTGGGTAGTGAAGGGCAGGATATAAATCCAATCTCTTCTTCTTCTTGGGTCAAGAAGCCAAGTCATGGCACTTGAAGTCTTTCAGCTCGCCTGCTGCCAATCTTTTGCTGCAGTGTGTCTTGCGGGAGCGTTGGGGGCATTCTAGGGTGCAGTCTCCGTTCACGTGGGGCAGCAGGGAAGCCGGGGGGGGGGGCACGGTGGCGGCAAGCATCCCACATCCTCCATATGCTGCTGGGGTTCATGGGCAGGCAGAATTGATGTGAAAGTCTCTGTGGCAGGTAGTGACACTCACTGACAACCACCTTCCCACAAGGTGTACCAGTTCCACCCAGCACCTCATTCCTGTGGTATCTGGAAGAAAGCTGAATTCTGGTGTGTGTGCATGCATAGCTGCACTGTTTGGTCTTTGTTCCGCAAGTGTAGCCCTGAAGAGCACTAGAAGCTGGTGAACCTCCTTGGTGGCACCTGGGTTTTGGCCACAGTGTGACGCAGTGTTGGATGATCCAGTATGGCTTTTCTTATGCTCTTAAGCCACCAGGTTAACCATATAGCTGCATGATATTATGTCTGTTATTTATTTGAGCCTTTATTAGGTTTCTGTCCCACCCTTTCTCTAAGGTGCTCATGGCTCTCATTTTATCTTCACAACAACCCTAAGAGGTAGGCAAGGCTTAGAGTGTGTGACTGACCCAAGATTAGCTGGGGAGCTTCATGGCGGAGTGGGAATTTGAACCTGGGACTCTCAAGTCGGAGTTCAACACTCTTAACCGATGTATTTGAGTTCAGTAGCACCGTAGAGACCAACAAGATATTCAGGGTATGAAGTTTCGAGAGTCTAATCTCCATTTGTCAAATATATGACACATGGAATTTGAACCCTTGAAAGCTCATACCCTGAAAATCTATTGGTTTCTAAGGTGCTGGTGGCCTAGAACCTAACTGCTCTAACTCCTGGCTGTCTCCTTACAGCTCAAAGTGCTCAAGGCCAGGTACAATATTAACATTTGATGATGTACCCAGAGGTGTCAAACTCATTTGTTATGAGGGCCAGATCTGACATAAATGTCACTTTGTTGGGTTGTGCCCAATGTTCCCTCTAAGCTGTGGAGTCCTGTGAGCAAAAAATCTACTTTGTGAGCTACCAGCATTAAAGTTGTGAGCAGGCAGGTGATTCGGCTACTGCATAAATCAGTTTGCTCTGGACTGGAGCCATCCTTCCTGAGCTAAGACAACAATGTGTGAGCCGGAGGCTAAAAAACTGTGAGCTGGCTCACACCAACTCAGCTTACAGGAAACACTGGTTGTGCCATGTATGTTATAAAATGTAACATGAGGTACCAGAGATATAAACTTTATAAAGATGATTTCAGATGCCAAATGGCTTGATTGGATTAGGTGTGATATGCAGAGGGATGGTAGGCGTGAAGATATCAGCATTGGTAAGGTGACAGGAAACCTAGGTCTCCGTTTGGTCCAGGAGGATTCAGTCCAGCAGGATGCAAAGAATAAATGGAAATAAGTCTAAAGAAAGTGAGCAGTGACTCACAAAAGCTCATAAAAAGGTAAAGGTTCCCTTGCTCGAAAGTCAGTCGAATCCGACTCTAGGTTTCCGGTGCTCATCTCCGTTTCAAAGTCAAAGAGCCAGCGCTGTCTGAAGACATTTCCGTGGTCATGTGGCCGGCATGACTAAACACCAAGGCGCACGGAATGCTGTTACCTTCCCACCAAAGTGGTACCTATTTATGTACTTGCAATTTCTTGCTTTCGAATTGCTAGGTTGGCAGGAGCTGGAACTAGAGACGGGCGCTCACTCCGTCATGCGGCGCACTCGGGTCTCGAACTGCTGAATTACCGACCTTCCACAGCCTGCAGTTCAGCGTCTTAACCACTTTAGCCACCGCAGCTCCCACAAAAGCTCCCACAAATTTTGTTAGTGTTTAAGGTGCTACTGTACTCTTACTCTTTCTACTGCTATTAGAAACCACAGCATTAAAAAAACAACAGTAGGGAATATTTTAACCTTCCAGGACATTCAGCTGTTGACCTAAGAGTAGCAGTTCTCTTACAAAAGAACTTCAAAGGGAGATTAGAAAGAAAGTGCTGAATTGCAACTGATAATGAAGCTCAAGACAATGCATCCTCCTGGACTGAATTGAGACCTAGGTTTCTTCTCTCATTACCAATGCCTACTATTGTCATTTGGCATCTGAAATCACTTCACTCTCCAAGGTATAAGGACAGATGCTCACATTCTAGCTGTATCTGAAGAAGTGAGCAGTGATTCATGAAAGCTCATGTCCTGCCACAAATTTCGTTTGTCCTTAAGGGCTACTGGATTCTTGCTCCCTTCCACTAATAAAGATTGCAAGCTGTGCTGTTAGTCACTGCAAAGGGGGTCTCTCTCAGTCTCCCCCTCCCTCTCTGAAGAAGTGTGCACAAGAAAGCTTATGCCCCCCCTCTCCCCCCCCCCCCGGAGGAGGAGCACTCAGCCACTCAAGGGAAGGGAGGCTTGGCCTTCTTTCTCTCTTCTACAAAGCAGGAGAGGAGAGAGCTGGGCAAAAGCTGAGCAGTGATGCAGGAAGCAGATGAGAGCCAGTTGCTCATGGGCCAGATAGGAGCCCTGCAGGGGCTGGTTCCAGAGCATGGGCCATATGTTTGACACTTATTGGCATTTATACAATGTATAAATCAATCCTGAGCAGCCCTGTAGCTAAGGAGTTTTTGGGGAGGAGGTCTGGGGGGGGGGGGCCCACCAGCCAATTAAATCAAAGTTAATTAATTGGTGAAACTCCTAAGGTAGCCCTGCACACACCCCCAGGATCCAGGGCAAGGCAGGGTAATGCCCAGTGGCCGCAGCTTCCCTCTCCACCCCCCTGCAAGGGCAGGTCAGACCTCATCCCTGGAACTCTAGCCCTACCGGTGCTGAAACGGGCCTGCCCGTTTCCATCCATGCGCCCCAACTAGCCGCGGGGAAAGCTGGCCCCGCCAAGGCGTGTCCGCTGGCTGCTGCGCAGAGTGCAAAAGGGACCCCCGATCCGGAAGCAGCCAGAAACCCCAGCTGGGCTCCCCCCACTGCCACCGGCCTGTGCCGCCGTCCCACCCGCCCGGGCGCCTCCATGGCCAGCCCACTGTGACCTTGCTGAGCGGCAGGGCTTTTTCCAGCGACGATCCGGCAACCTGGGGACTCGACCCAGACGGGGGAGAGAGAGAGGGGGGGAAACCGGACGACATGTGGGGGGGGGGGGGGGGGGGGCGGTCTTGGCCAGCCGCCAAGTGAGCCGCTGTGGGGAGATGGAACACCAAGAGGGTGGGCTCAGACGCTCTGGGTCCCTCGGGCAGGCAGGCCGGCTGCCACGGTGGATGAGTGTGCAGTGCCTGCCTAGAACCGGAGAAAGGAGTGCACACTCGCTGTGGGTGGGGGGGAACCGAAAATTGGGGAGGGGCCCATAAAAACTGTGGGGCGGGCCCCATGGGCCCCTCAGTAACTATGGGCCTGATCCTGAGGTTAGAGTCCTGGATGTGGCACGGTCATGTTCCCTTTGGCCATTCCAAACATGTTAACTTCCTTTCACCCTAGTTCCTTGACCAGCTCAGGAGGAAGGCCGAGGATGACGGCGGTGGACGCGTTGTTGGAGAACGCCGAGGTTGTGGAGATGGAAGAAACGGCCTCATCTCAGTTCCACGTGGAGAAGCACTCGTGGGAGGGGCTGCGCGACATCATCCACGGAAGCCGCAAGTACACGGGAATGATCGTCAACAAGGCGCCCCATGACTTCCAGTTTGTCCGGAAGACTGAGGAGTCCAGCCCTCACTCTCACCGCTTATACTATCTCGGTAGGGCTGCCTTTGACGGGCGATCCTTTGGCTTGGTGCAGGGTGAAGATTGGGGCTGGTAGACAACTGGGCTTGCCGGTTTGCAGGGGTGAGAAGCCCGACTTCTTCCTTTTGCTTCCAACCGCAAAACATGCAAGGCCAACATCATTTGGTGCCTGCCGAGGTCCATGGTATAAACCATGATGAAAACAACCGTGATGTAGTATTATGAAAATATATTTAGACTGCTGTTTTTCCTGATTTGTTTCATTGGAGTGGGAAGAATGGCTGAGTGTTAAATCGCAGATCAGTATTGTTGACATGTAAATTAATGTTATTTACGCAGCACACCGCGAAAAAGCCGTTATGTGAAACGGGAGTGCATGCAGATTCCGTAGTGTGCATGCGTACATCTTTATTACTTGTTGAAGAGACACCGCTCACTGCAAAACAGCTGTCTAAATCTATTTTCATAATACTACATCACGGTTGTTTTCGTCATTGTTTGCATCCTTCCCGTGATCTCTCTGTTGTTTCTACAAGGTCCATGGTGTGGCAGAGGGCCCTTTCCCTGTGCCATTTGCCCCTGGGAGACGTATGTGTGGGGAGTGGAGGAAGCAGAGTGTGCGAGTGGATCGTGGTATGACACCTCCCACAGGCACCGTTCCCAAAAGCCCTTGCAGTGCGACGGAGCTTCTGGGGTATTTTCTGGTGATGAGCATCCGTTGCTCAGCTTTCAGACCCACCAGTGGGACCATTAAGGAGTGTGAGCACCTCACGCCCCGCTTCCTCCAGCATGTATGTAGTTGGGCTGGGGCAGAATTTGGACAGATATCCTTGGAAGCAAGAGCGTGGCTATTTGCCTTCAGTCTGAGATTAAAACAGCTCTGTGCTGAAGATGGTTTGTTAGCCACTTTAAACCGGGATACCCACAAATCAACCTGGATGAGAAACCGATGAAAGTTGGAATGTCGATTGATTATGTTTTTGGGATGGGCAATACCAAAGCATGGAAATCGATCATAGTCGTTTGATTCTGAGCATCCTGCAAAGCATCCTGACCCCTATTTTGGGGTCTTTCATTCCCAAGATATGTACTGTGTTACCATCCCACATTATTGCAGAGCTTTTTTTGTTTGCAAGACTGAGCATTACACCTACAGTGTTTTTGCGAGGGAGATTCCTGAATAGGCCCTACACCAACAGAATTTGCCCTTGTGGCCTTAACAGGATCGATACATCCTTTCACGCCCTGCTGGAATGCAGATTTTCTGAGATTATGAGGCATTACTATATTGCGCCTTTATTCAACCAATCGTCCCCCTATAGTCCGGAAACCCTGCCTCTTTTGTTCGGTGATGAGGATCCCGAGATCTCTCTAGCAACTGCAAAATTTGTCTCAGTCCCTTTTAGCCCTTGCATCTAAAAAATAAGAAAGGAGTGTTTTCTGCTGATCGAGATCCTTGAATCAGTGAGGTACAAAAGGAAAGGAACAGAAGCGCCCTGATTTGGGGAGGGGGCAAGCTGGTACGCGTGCTCTGTCACCAGTGGTCCAGAAGAAGAAGAAGAAGAAGAAGAAGAAGAGAGTGGATTTATACCCCGCCCTTCACTACCCAAAGGAGTCTCAGAGTGGCTTACAAACTCCTTTCTCTCTCCCTCCCCACAACAGACACCCTGCGAGGTAGGTGGGGCTGAGAGAGCTCTGAGAGAAACTGCTCCTTTTCAAGAACAGCTGTGCCAGAACTAGGGCTTGCCCAAGGTCATCCAGCCAGGTGCAAGTGGAGGAGTGGGGAATCGAACCCGGTTCTCCCAGATTAGAGTCCGCGCACTTAACCACGACACCAGACTGGCTCTCATAAAAGCTCACAGCTGGCCCTAAGGCTCTGTGTGTCTTGAGCATTTCTCCTCTACGAAGCCAGCTATACGGAGTTCATTCAGAGGTGTTAGATCTGAGTCCAGTCGCACCACAAAGACCTAACAAGTTTGGACAACCCCGTGAGGTAGGCCAGGGTGAGTGTCAGTGACCGGGCCGCGGTGATTCGGCCAGCTCCCGTGGCAGATTTGAGCCTGGGGCTCCCCGGTCCTATTCCAGCACTCTTAACCATGACATCATATTAGCTCTCAGCCAGTCAAGCCCTGGCCTCCTCGGATGTAGTTGGGAATGGCGAGTGTGGTCAGCTGAACACCAAAATTCATCTGTTGGCAGCTGGACTCAGGTCAGCTCCCGCTGCCATTTTTATTCAATTTGTAAGGTAATTTTTAAGACACCTTAGAAGGCGCATCCTCCCTCCCCCAGGCAATGCTCCCTCTAAGCTGTGGACTCTTGTGAGCAAAAATTCTACTTTGTGGACTGGCATTAAAGTGGTGAGCGAGCGATCTGGCTGCTGCATAAATCAGTTTGCTCTGGAGCCACCCCTCCTGAGCAAAGACGATAAGGTGTGAGCCGGAGGCTAAAGAACTGTGAGCCAGCGCACACTAACTCAGCTTAGAGAGAACACTGCCCCCAGGTAAAGAACCTTTTTTAAAGATAGTACAGAAATAACCGCTTGTGTCCTATCTAGGAAGCCCACGTTCCTTCCCAGCATGCAGTGCTCCAGGGTTTCTCAGCTGAGCGTCCCTTTGGCAGAGATGTCCCCTGGCTCAGCAGCTGGGTGTGGTTCCCTTTTGTGGCTCTGAGGATTTGGGGCAGTGCTTCCCTCTAAGGTTGCGAAGCTCGTCGGAAGATGCCGCGCTCAGTTTCCCTGTTACCGTAAACTTGTCGGGCTGAACACAGGGTCACGTATGCTTTGTTCTGGTTTGCTGCTTCCACAGGAATGCCATACGGGAGCAGGGAGAATTCCCTCCTCTACTCTGAGATTCCCAAAAAGGTACGGAAGGAAGCCCTGCTCTTGTTGTCATGGAAACAGATGCTGGATCACTTCCAGGTGAGGCGCGTTGGATCGTGGACTGTGTCCCATGGCTGAGACAGGAATGGTGAGAAAAGAAAAACATCCTCAGCTCTCCATGTAGGCTCATAAGCATATTCCTGCCTGTTCACGAAGGTTTCCCACTGAAGCCTTCCTCTGGGTGTCTCCAGTCTGTGGTACGGTGGGGTGTTGTTATGCGAGCCTTTTGGGTTGAGGCTTCAGAACTCCTTTTCTCGGGAGGGTTGATCTGCCCCATGGGAGTAACCCCGCTAGCTCAGATGATGAATTCTAGGCCAGCATCCTGCTTTGTGTAACCACCAGCAATGTTCCCTCTAAGCTGTGGAGTCTTGTGAGCAAAAATTCTACTTTGTGAGCTACTGGCATTAAAGTTGTGAGCGAACAGTTTGGCTACTTGCATGAATCAGTTTGCTCTGGAGCCCTCCTTCCTGAGCTAAGACAAAAATGGGTGAGCTGGAGGCTAAAAAACTGTGAGCTAGCTCACACTAACTCAGCTTAGGGGGAACAATGACCACCAGCCATAATGGTACTGGGAGGCCTACAGGCAGGGGTATGGAGACCGTGGCCATCTCCCTGCTGCTGAGCCTGAGCAGCAGGTGTTCAGAGGTATGCTTGAGAGTAATTGAAATATGCAATTCGTTGCCAAAGGATGTAGTGATGGCCCCAGGAATAGACAACTGGGATTAAATAGACACCTTCCATCAATCTTTCAGTGGCTACTAGCCATGTTGACTAAAGGGAACCTCCGCGTTCAGAGGCAACCTCTGAATACCAGAGCCAGGAGGCAACATCAGGGGAAGGCCTCGGCCTCCATGCCCTGTTGTTGGCACTCCAGAGGAAGTGGTTGAGCCACTGTGTGGGACAGGATGGTGGTCTAGATGGACCCCTGGTCTGATGCAGCAGGGCTCTTCTGATGTTTCTTACTTCAGCATGTGGAGGTTCCGTTTAGCTAGCCAAATTCTACTGGATGGCCTACAAGCAGAGGCATAGAGATCATAGCATCTCTCTGCTGTTGAACCTGAGCAGCTAATGTTTGAAGGTATACTGTCTCTGCACATGGAGGTTCCATTTAGCCCTAATGGTCAATAGCCTTTTATGGGTATTTTCTCCATGAATTTGGTTAATTCCCTTTTCAAGCCCTCTAAGCTAGCAATAGCAGTACGTTTTAGGGCAGAGAATTCCACAAGTGAGTTATGCAGCTGAAAAGGAGCTCTTCCTTTTGCCTCTTGGTCCAGCTTTGCTGGTTTTCTGGGATAAATATAAGGCGATATTTCTCCCCACACACACATTTTTTGCTGTTCATTGTTTGAATCGCATGCGTTCCTGCCGCTCCATTTTCTTCTGTTCCCGTTTTTCTGTTTTGTTCATTTTTTTCCCTAACTAGCTTATAATTTTCAAAAAAATATTTTTTTAATTGTTTTTAATTTATCGTCTTGTGGAGCTATTTGGTAAGAGAGCAGGGTGAACTATTTTTTAATGAAACAATGAAACCTGGGCCAGGGTAGCGTAAGCGTGCTTGCTTTGCAAGCATTCCGACATGTGTACAGCTGTACCGTTTGTGGAGTTTTTGGTTTAAATAACAGACCAAGAGAAGATCCAGGTGGGCCGCCGTGTTGATCTGAAGCAATGGCACAAAATGTGAGTCCAGCGGCACCTTTAAGACCACCCAAGTTTAATTCTGGGCATAAGCTCTTGTGTGCATGCACAGGAAAGCTTATTCCCAGAACTAAACCTTGTTGGTCTTAAAGGTGTCACTGGACTCACATTTTGTTCTAGACTGAGAGAGGGAGACACTGAACCCTACAGGAAAGTGTGGGAAGGGGTAATAGCCCCCTCAAAAAATGAGAGCCATACAAAACCTTGGCCCCTATGCAGTGGAGTTAGCTGTGACCAAGGCTCCCTCTAAGCTGTGGAGTCTTGTGAGCAAAAATTCTACTCGGTGAGCTACTGGCATTAAAGCTGTGAGCGAGCGGTTAGGCTCCTGCATACATTAGTTTGTTCTGGAGCCCTCCTCCCTGAGCTGAGACAAAAAATGTGTGAGCCAGAGGCTATCAAACTGTGAAAGAAAACCTCTTTAAAATGTTTCACCGTTGGCACTTAACGCCAGCGGTATTGGCACTTAACGCCAGCGGTATTAGCTCGCTGTTATCCCCAATCGTTCAGACAAATGCTGGAAGTGTAAAGCGGAAAAGGGGACCTACTTCCATGCATGGTGGTCTTGTAAAATAACGCAAAGGTTTTGGAAAGAAATTCATGGTATCACTGTTCAGATAACTAAGGTGTCAACATTCCACTTGATCCAGAGATATTTGTGTTAAATATTATGCCGGACAATCTCAAGAAGGCAGATACACATCTGATTACCCATTTATTAACGGCAGCCAGGATGCTGTTCGCAACCGTATTTTCCTGGGTATAAGACTACTTTTTAACCCAGGGAAATCTTCTCAGAAGTGGGGGGTCGTCTTATACGCCGGTACGCCAGAAGCATCAGCACAGCTCTATATTTTAACTGGAAAACTCTATATTTTAACTGGAAAAGTTGGGGGTCGTCTTATACGCCCAGTCGTCTTATACGCCGGAAAATACGGTACTGGAAACGGGAAGATGTACCGTCCAGAAAGGAATTCATAGTCAACATTACAGAAATAGCTGAACTGGATAACTTGACAATGAAGCTTCATGGGAAGGAAGATGATGTTTTTGATAATATGTGGGTAAAGTTTTACAGATGGTTAGAGAGGAACGTTTAGACTAATAGATAGGCTGGAAAAGCTGAGTGTATGCGCTACTGTTCATAGCAAATATGTAATCACTGTTAAGGAATCCATGTTTATGTTGTATGTGGTTTGTCTCAAATACCAATAAATATTATAATTAAAAAAAAAAACGGTGAGCTAGCTCACACTAACTCAGCTTAGAGGGAACACTGGCCGTGTGGCGCATGGCCCGCAATAACTGGCATTGGCAAGGAGGAGGGAACTGGAGTCAGTGGCAAGGAGGGGAGGGAAAATGGGATTTCTTTCTCCCTAGGATTCCTGACAGGCCCCCGTTCCATCCCACAGATTCAACTTGTTTTTTTGTGTGTGTGTTTTTTTTAAAGAATTTATTTATACTTTTTCCAACAAACAAACAAACAAAAAATAAAAATCCAAGTACATTCCCATTGTACAAATCAGTTTCGGAGTGTTCATTATACATTTTTTTCAAACCATTTATACACTTTAAACCATCTTTTCTTATAAGCGTTATCATCTCTCTCTGCTAATATCATATTTAATCTGTCCATTTCTGCTATTTCGAATATTTTTTCCATTATTTCTTCTTTTTTAGGTAGTAAATCTGATTTCCATTTTTTCGCTGTCAGAATTCTGCTTAACGTGAGGATATATAACACAATACATTTATCATCTGTATTTACTATATCTGGCAAGATATTAAGCAAGTAACTTTCCGGTTTAAGCTGCAGATCTATTCCTACAATTTCTTTTATCAAATATTTTACCATTTTCCAAAATTTTACTATTTTGTCACACCTCCACCAGATATGATAGTATGTTCCTACGTTATTATTACATCTCCAGCATGTATCCGAGACATTTTTATAACATTTTGTTATTTTATCCGGTGACCAGTGCCACCTGTAAAACATTTTTAGGATATTCTCTTTGTATGGTGTGGCTCTTACTAATTTTTTTGTTTCCCACATTTTTTCCCATTCTTGCGTTTTTATTGTGTAGCCTACATTTTGTTCCCAGATTTTCATGCAGGGTTTTATCGTTAAATCTTCCATACTTTCCTTCTGAAAAAGTTTGTATAGCTTTTGTATTTGTTTATCTGCCGAGGACAACCAAATCTTGTCTAGTTCTAACATTGAGTCATTAAATTTTGTTTTTTTGTCCTTAGCAAATCTTGATTGTATTATTGTTCTCTCCCAACTTGTCAAGTTTATATTCATTTCTTGTAGGTTCTCTAATGTTTTTAATTCTTTTTCTTTGGTTAATAACTTTTCATAGGTTGCTTTTTTTTCTCTGTTAGTAAAGCTGGCAATATAAAGGCTTCGAGTGGTGACACCCACATTGGTACTTCTTTGTACATTTTTTCTTTAATTTTCTTCCAAATCTTAATCAATGCCCCTCTTATAATATGGTTATTGAAGTTTTTATGCACTTTTTCCTTATCGTACCAAATGTAGGCGTGCCAACCCATATACAGATCATGGCCCTCTAGTTGTAGTAGTTTTTTATCTTCTAAGAGTATCCATTCCCGTATCCATCCCATTGCTGCTGCTTGATAGTAAATCTTCCAGTCTGGCATACCGCATCCTCCTCTTTCTTTTCTATCTTTCAAAAATTTCCATCTTATTCGCGCTTTTTTACCTTGCCATACGAATCTTCTTGTCATGCGATCTAGTTCTTCAAAAAAGTTTTCATTTTTCAAGACCGGGATACATTGCGCAAAGAATAAAAATCTCGGGAGGATGCTCATTTTGATAGTAGCTATTCTTCCCAACAATGAGATGTGTAGATCTTGCCATTTTTCAAGATCTTTCTTGATCTCCTCTAGAAGTACTTTGTAGTTATTATCATAGAGGTTCAGATTGTTATTTGTAATGTTAATGCCTAGATATTTTACCTTTTTTACCACTTCTATATTGGATATCCGGTACAGGTTTTCTACCTCTGTTTTATTACAATTTTTTGTTATTATTTTCGTCTTTCCTAAATTTATTTTGAGACCTGCTTTTTCCCCATATATTTTTATAGTATTGAGTAAATGTCCAATCGAAGTTTTGGGGTCCTCCAGAATAAACACCAGATCATCCGCAAATGCTACCACAGATTCAACTTGTTAATGAGCCTCCCTTGTCCCACCTTATCTTCTCCGTCTCCCGATCCAGTGCCCGGAGGCAATTTTGGGACGGGTGCAGGCTAATAAACTGAAGCTTAATCCCCGACATGATGGAAGTGATCCTGGTGAGCAGAAAGTCTGTCCCAGGATTTAATGTGGCACCCATTCTGAAGGGTTTGCATTCCCCTCGAAGGAACAGATCTGTCCTCTGGGGCAAGGTTCCCTCTGATTCCCCCTCCCTTCGTTAAGCGGAGCAGTGCACATCCTGAGCAGAATAAAACTGCTGTAATCTTAAAGTCGGCAGTGGGAGCCATGCAAGACCCTGCGTAGCTCCAGATTGCTGCTGAGCGGGGCTTCCTGTGTTCATGAGCGGCCACTCACGTGCACAGCTTAGTGGGAACACTGGTCCGGGGGTGGCTCTTGGACCCGGGCCTAAGGCTGGATAAGCAGGCGGCAGCTGCAGCCAGGAGTGCCTGTACCAGCTTCGACTGGTAAGCCAGCTACGGCCTTTCCTGGGCAGAAGAGATTGGTCACCGTGGTGCATGCCCTGGTTACATCTAGTTTTGACTACTGCAACGCACTCTACATGGGGCTGCCCTTGAAAAGTGCTTGGAAACTTCAGCAGGTGCAGTATGCTGCAGCCAGGGTGTTGACTGGAGTGGGTTGTAGGGGCCATATCATTCTAGTCTCGGGCCATCTATACCGGCTCCCAATTGGTTTCCAGGCACAATTCAAAGTGCTGTTGACCTTTAAAGCCATATATAGTTTGGGACCAACACACCTGAAGGGACCACCCAATCCCTTACGAACCTGCCTGACCATTTTCCAAACATCTGCTTCAGTTGCCCCTGCCTTCTGAGATTAGGCAGGTGGCACCCGGGAAAGGGCCTTCCCCAGGCAGAGTCATCTGTCCCCTTCTGTTGTCATTTTCCTCCAGCGGGTGAAGACTTTCTTTTTTTTTCTTTTTCAAAAACTTTTATTTTGGATATAACATGTTCAACATTTAATTACATTCCCATAATTCCAAATCCATTTCTCTTATCTCCCCCCCACCCACCCCATACAGTGGCTTCCCGCAATGCTTCTCCCTACCCACACATAATATAATTCCCTTTTTCTTTCCCATTTTCATTTCATATCTCAAGGTAACAATCTTACTTTATATAATTCAAACTTTGCAATAATTCAACCCTTAATAATTATCTAAACGTAGTAAATTATTTTTAACATCCCAATTATTTTCTAAGTATACTTTAAAGTCTTTCCATTCTTCAAAAAAGTCTTTATCTTCTTTGTTATTCAATTTTTTCGTTAGTTTATCTATTTCAGCCATAAACAAAACTTTCCGTATCCATTCCCATTTGTCAGGTATTTTGTCCTGCTTCCAAAATTGTGCATATGTCATTCTCGCAGTGGTAATTAGATACCACAACAGAGGTTTTTTTTCGACATTTACTTCTTCCATCTTTAAACCTAGAAGTAGTATCTCCGGTTCTTTTTTAAAAGTACATTTCAAAAATTTTTGCATCTCATCATGCACCTCTGTCCAAAAAGTCACAGCTTTATCACGTCCACCACATATGATAAAAAGAGCCTTCATTTTTTTTACATTTCCAACATTTTCTTAGATATATTTTCATTCATAATTGCTATCTTCTTTGGAGTCATATACCACCTATACATTTTATAGCAATTTTCTTTAACATTAGTACATGTTGATATCTTAATTTAATTTTTCCATAAATATTCCCAAGATAACATAGTCACCTCCTTATTCATATTTACGGCCCATTTAATCATTTGTTCTTTTACTAATTCATCTCGGGTGAAGACTTTCTTGATTCAGCTGGCATTCCCTCAGTGATCCCTCTTTCCCACCCCGTGTTTGTTTTTATGTTTTTGTATGCGTATTGTAAAGGTATTTTGCAGGGGCCACGGTGGCTCAGAGGTTAAGATGCTGAGCTGCAGACCGGAAGGTCTGTAGTTCGGCAGTTCGAGACCCGAGTGTGCCGCGTGACCGAGTGAGCTCCCGTCTCTGGCCCCAGCTCCTGCCAACCTAGCAGTTCGAAAGCAAGAAATTGCAAGTAGATAAATAGGTACCGCTTCGGTGGGAAGGCAACAGTGTTCCGTGCGCCTCCGCATTTAGTCATGCCGGCCATATGACCACGGAAACGTCTTCAGACACAGCACTGGCTCTTCGGCTTGGAAACGGAGATGAGCACCACCCCCTAGAGTTGGATTCAACTAGCTTTCGAGCAAGGGGAACCTTTACCTAAGTGTATTTTAGCTGCATTTCTGTGTTGTTGGTTTTGATGGTTTTTATTACTGTGTTTTTATTATGTAAGTTTTTAGTCTCTTAGCCACCTTGGAGGCCCCGAAGAGGACAGAATGGCGAGGTATAAATTCTGTACGCAGAATAAGTAAATTGACAGCCGAGGCAAGCCTCGAAGTCATGTCCTCCCTCCCCCCGGGCCGCTTGCTTTAGCTCTCCTCTTTTCTGCCAGGCTACCCCCCACCATGGGATGTACTCCAGGGAGGAGGAGCTGCTGAGGGAGCGCAAGCGGCTGGGCGTCTTTGGGATCACCTCCTACGACTTCCACAGGGAGAGTGGCCTCTTCCTCTTTCAGGCCAGCAACAGCCTCTTCCACTGCCGGGATGGAGGCAAAAACGGCTTCATGGTGAGTCAGAGCGGCCGAGGCTCTCATGGCGCTCAGCCTAACCTGCCTCGCAGGGTTGTTGTGAGGATAAAATGGAGGTGACGAGAATGACATAAGCGGCTTCGAAGAAGAGGTTGGATTCATACCCTGCCCTTCACTACCCGAAGGAGTCTCAGAGCAGCCTACAATCCCTTTTCCCTTCTTCACAGCAAACTCCCTGTGAGGTGGGTGGGGCTGAGAGAGCTCTCCCGAGAACTGCCCTTGAGAGAACAGCTCGGAGAGAACTTGTGACTGACCCAAGGTCACACCAGCAGCTGCATGTGGAGGCGTGGAGAATCAAACCTGGTTCTCCCAGATTAGAGTCTGCACCCTTAACCACTACACCAAACTGGCTCTTGAGTCCCTGCTCGGGGGAAAGGCGGGGTATAAACAAATTAAATAAAGTTTCCCAGTACCTGTCCACTGCTTGTATCTTGGGGTTATAATCCAAAGGGTCTTTAATGAAACGCAAACACGCGCAAAATGCCCAGGGAGGTTTGGATTGCTCCCTACCGACTGGTGGATTTGCAAAGCGTTGAGCCCATTCCAGCCAGCCAGGGACCGCTGTACGTCTCCAGGCTGGGAAGCCACTTCCTGTGTCTGTGCAGGGAGCAGACCTTTGGAAGCTGAATCACCTGTTTCCCCCCCCCCCCCTGTTTCCCCCCCCCCCCCAAAGCAAAGAGTCACCTTGGAGCAGAACAGTCTTTGCATCTCCGGAGAACGCTTCGAAAGCAGCTGCCTCCATCATCCAAATGGAAGAGAAGCCTTGCTGGGCCTGACCAGCGGTCTGTCTGGTCCCGCATCCTATTTACAACAGCAGGCCTTTGGGTGCCACAGGGAAACACACAGGCCAGGGGGCAACACCTCTCCCTTGGCATTCTCTGGCAAGCGAGAGCCTCTGAAGAAGGCTCTTGTGAGCTGAAACGCGTCAGGTCATATACTGTCTCTTTTTTTGTACGAAGTTTAAGTGTGACTTTGAACATTTTATGAGGCTTTATTTGGGCCCCTACCAAGTTTTTCTATGTCTTTGTAATAAACACTCTTTTGTACACTTACTCATGTTTTTAACTTTTAGCCCTCAGAAAGTTTTCTAAACTTCCTTTGGAGGTTTGTCCTTTGTTGGTTTAGATTTTCTCCCCTCCTTTTTGGGGATTCTCTGGTAAGCAGCGCACTCCTGGTCCCAACGAATCCCTGAAGAGGAACCGCTGCTTTCTGCAGGGAGCAAGCCCAATCCTTCTTGAGCTCATTCGTGCTAGTATTATACCTGTAAATCTGGGGTCCCCAACCTTGAACCCGTGGGTACCATTGCAATTCTGACTCAGGGGGGTGGGTGCAGCCACTAACTAGATGCTGCAGCAAGTGGAACCAACCAAAATATGTCAGGGAGTGAAGGTATGTATAACTCCCATAGCAAATCTCCAGCATTTCAGGCAGAAACTCTGTTTAGTAGAATGCTTTTTGGAATGAAAATACTGTAATAAAATAGCTGCTTGCGTACACACAGCTTACCCGGAGTCACACAGTGAAGATCCTTTCGCAGTGGTGGCAGCTGTTGCCGAAACAACTTTTTAAAAAATCACAGTCAATCATATGTCCAGCGGCCTATCAGAAGCCCTGCTGGCAAATGCCCCACCTGGCTCCACCCACTTGTTGGGCACCAGGAGAGGCGTTGACAGGCATCATGGCTCCCGCGGGCATCATGTTGGGGACTGCCCCTATAAATGTTCAGCCCAGCAAATTTACCCAGGAGTCTCCTTCACAGTTTTGTTAGTGAAGGATGGAGATGTTCAAGCCGATTACAAAGTTTCCAGAGAGATGCAAGCATTCTTCTGGAGGCTTTTGAGTGTTGCTTTTTGTGTACTCTCGATTAAAATGAGTGCTCAGAAATAGCTGCTCACCTCAACCCAGTGCATCACCTCATGGGTTTCTCTTGTGCTGTGCGAGCAGTTTTCCCCCAGTCTTGCCAAACCACTCCAGTCCGTTTTGCACTGATTCTGGGTGGTCCTCTAAGCCAATCTGATTCTCTGGCATTTCTCCCCTTGCCCAGGTCTCACCGATGAAGCCGCTGGAACTCAAGACCCAGTGCTCAGGGCCCCGGATGGATCCCAAAATCTGTCCGGCAGATCCCTCTTTCTTCTCATTCATCAACAACAACGACCTCTGGGTAGCAAACATCGAGACGGGAGAAGAGCGCCGGCTGACGTATTGCCAGAAAGGTAGCTGTGGTCGTCTTGTGTACGTGCCGATGGGCACAGCTTGTCTGCAGAAGAGTTGGCGCGGGTGGAGAGCGTGGCCTGGCCTTGGCAAACGAGAGCCTTGCTCAGTATTTGTGGGTGACGTCAGAGTTGCAGGCAGAGAGAACCTGTAAGGCAAAGTGCTACTTGGAGATCATAGAATATTGAGACCCACATTCCTCATTTGTAGGAATGTGGTCTGAAAGGGGCAAGAGAGTTCTTATTAGGGATGCAGTGCTCCCTCTAAGCTGTGGAGTCTTGTGAGCAAAAATTCTACTTTGTGAGCTAAAGTTGTGAGCGAGCGATTTGACTGCTGCATAAATCAGTTTGCTCTGGAGCCATCCGTCCTGAGCTAAGACAAAAACCTGTGAGCTGGAGGCTAAAAATCTGTGAGCTAACTCACACTAACTCAGCTTAGAGGGAACACTGGATGTGACGCTCTCAGAAGGATAACACAGGAGCAGAGCACAGTCTCCGGCATCTCCATCTAAAAAGGGTCTGGTGGTGGGTAATGAAACTCCCTCCTGAGATGCTGGCAAGCAGGGCCGGCTCGCGAACTAGGCGTTCGCCTAGAGCGCGCTGGGCCTTAGGGGCACCAAACTGCACCTGCCCCCCCGCCAAAAGCCCCCACACACCATTGCATTTCTGTGGCCGGGTGACCCCTGCCACCGCCGCCCACCACCCCCAGCCCAGAGCGCTTGCAGCCACCCCTCCGGCACCATGGAGCCCCCCAGTGTGGCCGACAAGGACGCCTCGGAGACCACCCGCCTGGTGGGGAGCTGCGAGCTGGGCAGCGCTGGTATCCTTTGCCTCAAGAGGTAAGGGGACACCCCCTCCAGCCGCTCGGCTTTGCTCGCTCAGACCGCTGGCTCTACAAGCCCCCCCGCCCCGCCCCCACCCAGCAGGCGCTGTCTGAAGGCCGAAGCTTCGCGCCCTGCCCACGCTCCAAAGAGCCTCCCAGAAGCTCCCTTTTCCCTGGACTTCAGAGGCTTCTGCCCGGGACCCTACTCGTACTCGCAGCCCCATCCGCCCCGTCCCCCGACTGTCCCCCCAGTTTACACTCTTCCCCGCAGTGGTCCTGATTGCGGAGAAGGCGCCCGGAAGGAGCAGCGAAGGCGCCGCAGGGAAAAGAAGCAAGGAAGCCCGCCCCCCCTCCAGTGCCCCTGCTTTGCAGCCGCCAAATCTCTTCGCCCCCAGCACAAAGTCCGGGCGAGGGAAGGCGAAGGAGGCAGCGCAGGGGGGTGGGCGACTCCTACTGGCGGGCAGATCTCCTGGGCAGCCTCCCCTGTGTGGAAGCCCTGCGGCAGGGGTGGGTCGATGCAAGAGAGCACCGCCCACCTGCTGCTCTCCGCCCACTGGCTCTCATGCTAACGAGCCTCCTTGCCTAATAAAGATCTTCAGTGGGGGGGGGGGCGCCACAAGACAGCCTGGCCTGGGGGGGGGGCACTGCAAGCTAGCCTTGCCTAGGGCACAAAAAACCCTCAGGCCGGCCCTGCTGGCAAGCCCCTAACTGTCCAGGAGGGCAACACAAAGTCAGCATTAAGGCAGTCCTAGCGGACTCGACTGTACGACTGAACAACAACAAAAGCGCACAATAGGGATAGGCATGAACCAAACAGTGAAGCAAAATCCGTGACGAATTTTGTTCGCGGTTTGCAAACAGAAGTTCGTGACGGGTTCACTGTCACAAACTCCCATGAACTTTTAGAGTGGTTCATGGACAGAGCAGAAAGCAAGGGTTTAAAAGGACGCCGATTCCCTTTAAACCCCTGCTTTCTGTTCCCTGCAAAAACCGCAAAAACAGCTGAGTGGTGGGGAGACTCCCTGCGTCTCAGCTGTTTCGGGACGTCTTGTGCAGTTCCTTTAAACTTTAAAAGGACTGCAGAAGACAGCCTGAAAAACAGCTGCGCGGTGGGGAGGTGCTCCCGCCACGCAGCTCTGTCGGGCTGTCTTCTGCAGGCGAACTGCACGAACCGGTTTGGTTCGTGAACGAGCCGGTTCGGCTCATGGTTCAGCCGTGAACTAACCCACATTTTCCCGGTCTGTGCCCATCCCTAGCCCAAAGTGGTCTGTGTTCCTTTCCATGTGCTGCTGTGGAAGGGGAAATGTTCTTCCCTCTGGAATGTTGGTGGGAATTGCCATCAGTTCACAGCTGATTTATGGTGCCCTCATAGGGTTTTCAAGGCAAGGTACGTTCGCTGTTGCTTGCCTCTGCGTAGCTACACTGGACTTCCTTGGTGGTCTCCCATTCAAGTGCTACCCAGGGCTGAACCTGCTTAGCTTATGAGATCGGACAAGATCATACTAGCCTGGGCTATGTTGACTCAAGGCAAAAAACAATGCAAATGAAAACTGTGGTTCTTCTAAGGCCTGACGAACCACAGTGAAGAAGGAAGGGGTTACAAAGGCAGACGATATTGGGGTGAAGAGGGAGGTGTTGTATACAATAGATTACATGGCTGTTGCTTACAGTAAGTGACCGACCGTGTATAGCACCTTCAAACTTGCTGTTAAGAAGCGGATGGTGATGCTGCTCCCTGTAAGGTAAAGGTTCCCTTGCTCGAAAGCCAGTCGAGTCCGACTCTAGGGTTGCGGTGCTCATCTCCGTTTCCAAGCCGAAGAGCCAGCGCTGTCCGAAGATGTTTCCATGGTCATGTGGCCGGCATGACTAAACACCAAGGCGCACGGAACGCTGTTACCTTCCCACCGAAGTGGTACCTATTGATCTACTTGCAATTTCTTGCTTTCAAACTGCTAGGTTGGCAGGAGCTGGTACTAGAGACGGGAGCTCACTCCGTCACGCGGCACCCGGGTCTCGAACTGCTGAACTACTGACCTTCCACAGCCTGCAGTTCAGTGGCTTAACCACTTGAGCCACCGCAGTTCCATGCTCCCTGTACTGAAATGTAAAATTACAGTTTGAAACGACCCGTCCTTCTGCCCTGGCAGAAGACATATGTCAAAGTGTGCATCTTCAAGGTGTCACCCTCTGCTAAAGCAACCGAGTGCGTTACATCCTGTCGAGAACAGAGCGTGTGGTGGAGAGAGAGCACTGCTAATTAAACTGCTGAGAGGGCCTTAATCAGTGTGTGGGTCCTGCACGGGCAGTTTCACGCGTGTGGCCGTTTAGGCCCCAATCCCAGCTCTGTGTTCTCCCTCCGGCAGGCTTATCCAGCGTGTTGGATGATCCCAAACTGGCAGGCGTCGCCACTTTCGTCATTCAGGAGGAGTTCGATCGGTTTACAGGGTACTGGTGGTGTCCCACCTCTTGCCAAGAAGGTGAGTTTCAGGCTTTGGGGCCAGGGTACTCCTGGACCTTCGGGGCCTGTTCTCCAGCTCTGACACGCCAAGGTCCGTGGCTAGAAATCTGAGCTGAGCACAGCAGGCAGGAGTTTCTGCTGTGTTGTCCTGACCAGTGCTCCCTCTAAGCTGTGGCGTCTTGTGAGCAAAACCTCTACTTTGTGAGCCACTGGCATTAAAGTTGTGAGTAAGCAATTTGGCTCCTGCATAAATTAGTTTGCTCTGGAGCCATCCTCCCTGAGCGGAGACAAAAATGTGAGCCGGAGGCTAAGAAACTCTGAGCTGGCTCACACTAACTCGGCTTAGAGGGAACACCTCACTAGGCAAGACCAAGCCTTTGTACTAGTTGACAAGACCCCTGGCCTTTCTGCCTCTGAAGAAGGCCCCGGAACAGTGCATGGAAACTAAGCCTGAGGCACCAAGTATACATTATAGAATTGCTTCAGCTATGTTACCGGCAGGGGTCATTTTGGGGGGGGGACGTGAGGGGACACCATCCCCCCGGGTGAGGGGCGGGGGGGGGGGGGGAGGGGGAGGGAGTTCCGGCCACCCTCTGCTTCCCCCTCATTCAATCACAGGAGGAGCTGGAGGGGGTGTGGCATATGCTAATGAGTTATGCTAATGAGTCCCCCTAGCTCTTTTTCTAGGAAATGACCCCTGGACCGGTTATCATCATGTTCTGTGTGGACCAAAATCACTTCTGGATGGTCTCATGTGTTACAGTTGTGTTTAGGTATATGCTGTGCAAAGCCCATGTTTCTTTTCCAAAATCATCTTTAGAGCCTAACCTACCTCAGGGTTGTTGTGAAGGTCAACTGGTGGTGGGTGCTGCTGGGGAGGTAGTTGTGAATTTCCTGCCTTGTTCAGGGAGTCAGACTAGATGACCCTGGAGGTCCCTTCCAACTCTATGATTCTATGTCACCATGAGCTCCCTGAAGGAAGGGCAAGATGAAAGTGTATGAGACAAACGCCTCCTTCCCTGACAATCTGAAGGACTGTCTCCTTCCATATATCCCTGTATACCCGCTATGGTCCGCTTAGGGTGGCCCATCTGGCATTGACCAGAGCCCGGGCCTTTTCCATTGTGACTCTGGCTCTGTGGAATGGGCTTCCTGAAGAGGTGGGGGGAGCCCTCTCCTTGGAGACTTTCAGGAGGTGCTGCAAGACCTCCCTGTTTGCCAGGGCTTTGGAGTGGGTCTGAATGGCAGGCATCTTTTTTTGGAGGGGGGGGGGACAGAGATTTGAGGTTGCTGTTTGTTTTTGGTTTTTTGCTGGGCGGGATGTCTGAACTGTTGCTTGAACCAAGAGAAAAGGTGGGATATTAACGTTTTAATAAATAGTCTCATGCAAGCCACTGCTCTTTGGCTTCAGTCTCTTGCCTTAAATTAAAGTGGAGAGCTGTGGGGAAAGAGACAAGTGCGGCGCGCTGGTACGTTGCTGGGCTGGAGCAGCGGAGGGTGACGTGAAGAGGAATTGTGTGACAGATGCAAGGGCCCGAGAAGGGGGAAGCATTTAAAAAAAACCCTAGTGTGCTGTATGAAGCGGTTAAGGAGAGACTTGAAGGGGCCGTGAACTGGGTGCCCAGAGTGTATCTGGGATGCTGGAGATTTGGAGACACTGAAATGGAGAAGTCTGCAGAGCAGCCTTCCCCTCCCCTCAAAAGCAGTGTGATGATGTAGTAGTCAGGCTAGTACCACGAGCCCCAGGTTGACCTCTCCACTCTTCCCGGACACGCTCTAGGAGACATAGGAACGTAAGAGAAGCCATGTTGGATCAGGCCAATGGCCCATCCAATCCCACACTCCGTGTCACACAGTGGCCAAAACCCAGGTGTCATCAGGAGGTATACTAGCGGGGCCAGAATTCCTCCCACGGTTGTCCTCCAAGCACCAAAAAGACTGCCCTAGACATAGGGTGATTTCCCACAAGCGCTGCTCTGCGCTCATTCTTCTCTTTGCCCCGATGGTACGTGTCAATTTTACACAAGCTGCTGCGCGACCGCATTTTGCCCCGCAGCTTCGTGCGATTTTCCCCGCATCTACTCAATCCTGTTTTTTGAGGATTGAGTAGATGCGGGGGAAATTGCGCGAAGCTGCAGGGCAAAATGCAGACGCGCAGCAGCTTGTGTGAAATTGACACATACCATCGGGGCAAAAGGGAGGCGTGAGCGCGGAGCAGTGCTTGTGGGAAATCACCCACAGTGTTCCCTCTGTACCTTGTGGCTAATAGCCACAGATGGACCTCTGCTCTGTATGTTTACCAGTCCCCTCTTGAAGCTGTCTGTGCTTGTAGCTGCCGCCACTTCCTGTGGCAGTGAATTCCACGTGTTCATGACTCTTAGGCTCAGTTGTTTCTCTGTCAGCCTAACTTGCCTCCCAGGGTCGTTGAGGGCGGGGGGGGGGGGGGGGAGAGAAATGAAAAAGTATGTTTTTCACCCCAAGCTCCATGGAGGAAGGGTAGGATAAATAAGTACCATTTTTCCCCATGTATTCCAGGCCCTGAGGGCTGGAAAACGTTACGAATCTTGTACGAGGAGGTGGATGAGTCGGAGGTGGAGATCATTCACGTTCCTTCTCCCGCCCTGGAAGAAAGGAAGACGGACTCGTACCGGTATCCCAGAACAGGTTAGTGGCAGGATGAGGTTAAAAGGAGTGTTGTTACCTGATGGGGCGGGTGCTCTTTGGGGACCTCACCCCGAAACGAGATTCATCTGGTCTCAGCAAATCTAAATAACGTTTCCCCCACCCCCCAAACCTAATAATTATGCCTGGTGTTCTGTGGTCTCTATTGCAACTCTCCTTTGTGGTACAGCTTCATAGGGATTGTGAGGAAAAGCCGGCAAAGGCCCAAGAAAACCTACTTTGAACGTCTTGGGTTGATTTACAACTCTGTAGTTGCTTTCTGTAGAGGCTTGTAGCCCCGTTCATCCAAGTGAAAGCCACACCGTGCCTTTTGTTGGGACCAACACAAATAACACAAAACGGGGTGCAAGCTTTTGAGTCCTTCAGAACTTTCCATCAAGCTAAATCAGGGGTCCCTAGCATAAGAACATAAGAGAAGTCAATGTTGGATCAGGCCAATGGCCCATCCAGTCCAACACTCTGTGTCACACGGCGGCCAAAAATACCAGGTGCCATCAGGAGGTCCACCAGTGGGGCCAGGACACTAGAAGCCCTCTCACTGTTGCCCCCCCCAAGTCCCAAAAATACAGTGCATCACTTGCCCCAGACCGAGCTGCCACCACCTCCTGTGGCAGTGAATACATGTGTTAATCACCATGGTTCCATGCTGCCCCCTGCCAAATGTTTTAGAAGGTGGGTGAAGCAAGGCCTATGGTATACTAAACAAGAAAGGAAATGGGAAACCTATTATAGCCCCTTCTTAAAACACACCTTAAATCTTTGGGATAGGAAATTTTTAAGTCTACCTTCTTCCCCAGTTATGGCATTTTTGGGACAATCCTAGGCTGACAGATATTAGCACCAACAATAAATTGGATACGAATAGTCAGTTGGAGAAGAAATATAAAATATCTTTCCCGTGGTTCCAGTACTACCAAGTACATAGTGCACTAGCTACTGTGTTACCATATATGCTTAAAAATCATTATTTAAATGCTTTTGAAGCCCTATTAAAAGGCAGTAATTTTGATGTAAAAGGTGTAATCCCAATTATTTATAAGTTATTGTGTCAGAATCTATTGTCACAGTCTACTTTGATTCAAGACCAGTGGCTAAAAGAGTGCCAAATACGATTAACTGAACAACACTGGGATTCAATCTGGAACACTCCCTTGCTTAAATCTAGGTCTACAGCTATCTGTTGGCAACAATATAAACTAATTACCAGGTGGTATTTAACACCATATAAGCTGTATAAAAGCAAATTAAGAACTAATTCCGAATGCTGGAAGAAATGTGGTGAAACTGGAACATTTCTCCACTGTTGGTGGGGTTGCAAAGTAGTGTATGCATATTGGGGAAATATTACCCAAAAAATTAAAGACCAAACAGGAATTTTAATTCAAAATACACCTGAGTCTATTTTACTAAATCTGTGGCCAGAGTTAAATATCCCAGAGTCGAGGAAGGATCTATTAACCCATCTCCTGTTAGCTGGTAAAACAATATTGGCACAACAATGGAATACTAAGAATATACCGATTTTTGGCACAGTGGCATGATAAAGTATGGGACTTGATGGTCCAGAATAAGATAATCTCACAATTAGTACAAGTTGAGAATCCTAATAGGAAAAATATGTTTTTAGACATATGGTATACTTTTTTTGAGTATATGGAGGAGGAGAAGATTGGATTTATACCCCGCCCTTCACTACCCAAAGGTGTCTCAGAGCGACTTACAAACTCCTTTCCCTTCCCCTCCCCACAACAGACACCCTGTGAGGCAGATGGGGCTGAGAGAGCTCTGACAGAAATTGCTCTTTTTCGAGAACAGCTCTGACAGAACTATGGCTTGCCCAAGGCCATCCAGCCAGGTGCAAGTGGAGGAGTGGGAAATCAAACCCGGTTCTCCCAGATTAGAGTCCGCGCACTTAACCACTACACCAAACTGGCTCTATGAATCAAACCAGAACTCCTCGATACCTAAGAAATACTTAGATTTTGTGTTTATTTAGTTATAGCTTGTTTGGTAGATAAAAACGAAAACTGTCATTATTTGGGGAGGTAATCGATCCTGTATTAATGTGGCACGTGTATTGTTTTATATGTTAAATAAAAATATATATTAAAAAAAAAGGAAAGTGGGTGAGGCCAGGCGGGGCTTCTGCCCAGCAAGGTTTCTGATTGGCCACTGGAGATCTGATTGGCGGCGCCGGGTTAGGCGGGGCTTCTGCCCAGCAAGGTTTCTGATTGGCCACTGGAGATCTGATTGGCGGCGCTCAGCAGCAGCTGCTGTCACAGCTCAAGGATATTGACTTTGTGACAGCAGGGAAGCCACGGCAGCCGTTGTGTGGCTGGCTCTGCCTCCCACAACCACCATTTTATGGTTGGGCCCACCACACTGTGTCAGAATTTCAGTGGTGCCCACAGGCTCAAAAAGGTTGGGGATCCCTGAGCAAGATGGTGGTGGTGGGGAATACATTCGTTTTCCAAGATGGGAGGCACTGGTAAATAGAATAAAGGATGTCCTCCCTTTGATGCAGGTGCAATAGACAGGAGTTGAAAGGAGCGTCATAGTAACGCCCATCCAAAGTAGCTGACAGTGGCTGTTCCACCGCCGTCAGCAAAACGCTTTCCTCAAGTGATGTGTAGAAGGACGCGATAAGTAGAGTTCACATCCATTATTGAATTCAGCCAAGGAGTGCTGGAGGGGGAGTCACTCGGAATGAAAATACTCACTGAGTCTTGTGACACTGTATGCTAATAAAACTATAGTCCCGCGTACGTTTTCGTGGACACAGGCCTGTGTCCTTCGATGCCAAGAGCAGGTGTCCTCCCTATGCAGACATTTTCTGTTGGACGTGTGGGAAAAAAAAATCCTTGTGGGGACTGTGCACTTGAAACCACCAAGTGTTTTCTCTCTCACTCTTTTATCCTCCTTTTTCAGGCAGCAAGAACCCCAAGATCTCGTTGAAGCTGGCAGAATTTCAGACAGACAGCCAGGGGAAGGTAGGCACGGCCTACCACAAAAGGCGGAGCCTTGTTCTGCTCGCCGGGGTTGACCCCGTTGCTGTGCTTGGTTAACAGCAGTGTGTCTTGCTCTCGTGCAAGGATCCTGCCCTTGCCTCTTTTGCTGGAGGAAGGCACGTGGTGGGCTTAGCTGGGCAGAGCAGTCTGTGTATTTTTTTAAAGTAGACGTGGAATTCAGATACTTAAATTATTATTTATTTAAAAATCTTGATTAGCCGCTTGTCTACCTTGTGGAATTCAAGGTCGGCTTACAATGTAAATAAAATAACAATTATAAAAAAAAGCCTTAAAATACCACAATTTAAAATCTCAGTTAAGACTGCCAATCAGGGGTCACTTCCTGCAGGAACGCACAGGAGCGGAGCTCCGGCAGTAAGGAGCCCAGGGGGTGGGCACATGTAACAAGCCCTACCCCCTGCTCCCAGCAGCCCTCAGTTGGGCCACGAGGAGCAAGAAGCAGCCAGGTAAGTTGCAGAGCCCCCCCCCCCCGGCCCGCCTTCAGGTACAAGCTCTCTCTCCTCTGTGAGGACATATCTGCGCGTTTTCCCCCCCCTCCCATTAGCTAGCAATCCAAAACAGTCCAGTGGCACCTTTAAGACCAAGTTTTATTCAGGTACAAGCTCTCCCTCCTCTGTGAGGACAGATCTGCACGTCCCCCCCAAATTGCTAGCAATCCAACACTGTCCAGTGGAGCCTGAGCGGTGGGTGTTGCCTTCTGACACACTTCTGGTGGTGTCAGGGGGTGTGGCATATACAAATAAGTTGTGCTAATAAGTTATGCTAATGAGCTCCTGCACCTCTTTTTCTACAAAATGACCCCTGCTGCCAATCAATAAAAACTGAGAGTTCAGGTGCACCTTAAAGACGAACAGCATTTGTGGCAGGATAGGGGCTTTCATGAGTCACTGCTCACTTCTTCAGATAGATCAAGATGGGCGGACGCGTTAGTCTGCCTGTAGCAGGAGAAAAGAGCAAGAGTCCAGGAGCACCTGAAAGACTAACATTTGTGGCAGATCAAGGCGGGTCGCTGTGTTGGTCTGAAGCAATAGAACAAAGTTAGAGTCCAGTCAGGCACCTTTAAGACCAACATAGGTTTATTCAAGGTGTGAGCTTTTGTGTGTATGCACACTTCATCAGACGATGAAGTGGAATTACATATCATAGTTGTATATATAGGTGGCTTGTTAAATTAGCATGCAAAATAGTGAGAAAACAGATCAAAAGAATGACATGCTCGGTTTCTGGTTTTGGTTCATCTGGGGAGGGGAACAACATTGGTAATAAATATGTCAGAATTGGAGATTGTCCTAATTTGTGAGAATCCCGTCTTTAGACCCCCCATCCATCTCCTTTCTATCATGGAGGTGAACTTTACAGCATCTTGGCTGTGCAGAGTATTTCCCTTGTCCCCAAAACAGAGAACTACATTTAAATCTACCATTCCAAATTACATTATTCAATTATATTCTTAATTGTTAAGAGCAGTAATAATATTTTGTTTCCCTAAAACATGGAGTTAACTGACTGAATCCTTTTCCTGGGGTACAGTGTTATGTCAGAGATCAACAAGATATTGCATTGCATTACAATCACTATTATAATACACTATTTCAAAAAGAAAAAAGAAAAACAACATATAGGGATGTATAGCCCTACTTGGTGAGAATACATATGTGAGGATTGAATGAGTTAGCATATGTAATGGGATAAGAAACCAATATCCCTGTTAAGTCCTGGCGGAGTGTTTGTTCTGAGTGTTGTAATAACTTGTAATTCAGCTATTCCCCTACAGGTTTCTCAGTCTTGTGATTCCTGACGTCAGATTTGTGTCCATTTATCCTTTGGTGTAGGGTTTGTCCCGTTTGTCCTGTAGGGGACAACCTTCCAGGTCATTCAATGGCTGACAAAGTAGCTGTTTTATTGCAAAAGAACTTCAGGAACAGAATGGAAAGGGAGAGACATGATCTTTTTTTAAAAAAATACACAAAACAGAACACATAGGCTGTTGGCCTGACCTGGATGGCCCAGGCTCCCCTGATCTCGTCAGAACTCAGAAGCCAAGCAGGGTCAGCCTTGGCTAGTCTTTGGATGGGAGACCACCAGGGAAGTCCAGGGTCATGACATGGAGGCAGGCAATGGCAAAACCACCTCTGAACATCTCTTGCCTTGAGAAACTTAACGGGGCCTCCTTAAGTCATCTGTGACCAGTGTTCCCTCTAAGCTGAGTTAGTGTGGCTCACACATTTTTGTCTCAGCTCAGGAAAGGTGCCTCCAGGACAAACTAATTTATGCAGCGGCCAAATGGCTCGCTCACCGCTTTAATGTCAGTAGCTCACAAAGTAGAATTTTTGCTCACAGGACTCCACAGCTTAGACGGAGCATCGTCTGTGACTTGGTGGCACTTTCCACCACCGGGCTGTTGGCCACGGTCACCTCTTGCGGCAGCTAGTCCCATAACCTTGTAGAAGCCAAAAACGAGAGGTATCGGGAGGAAGTGGAAGTCCAACAACAGCATCCGTGACAAAAATAACAAAGAGTCAATAAAGATATGTAGCAGAATCATTTACTGTAGTAATGCTGTAGAAAATTCTCTTCTCTTATCGCTCACACGCTAACGAATGCTGCGCAGTGTAAACAATTCGTTTCACAATATTTGCTTTATCTGAGCATGTAGCAATCACAATTCTTATCACTAGAAGGAAGAAGATGCACATTCAATTATAAACGTAGCTTAATAATCATAATAAACCATTACACTCAAAACTGTCACTTACATTACTACTTATCGACTCTTGAAGGAAACATTCCATGTTGACTCTCTAATACCAGAACCCAAGGTCTTCACAATGTATTAGCTGGATTCTAGAGGCCAAAGTCTCCACTGCTAATTGCTACCAGCCACAGTCTGCCTGTGCAAACGGCATTTAAAGTGCTAGTGTATCCATGTAGGTTTTTTTCTGTTTATAAAAACCTAACTCTAAAATGCCATCTATAGTATTACTTTCACATATTAACTATATAAACATCTAAACCTTTTTTATTCAGTGTCAAACCTTAGCAGCCGTGACTGGACATTATAACAATGCTTAAAGTGACATGGTGTGATTTTCAAAAGACACTCTGTGGGAACAATACCAGACGTGAGGAGATTTACATTCTATGCCAAAGTTCTGAACTTACAATTAACATAATATATGTATGATTATTGAAAACAGCTAAGATCAAGTTCTGAGTTTAGCCCATGAGGTAGTAGTGAATTCAACCGGTATATCCATCTATCCTCTTCTTGCAGCAACACCTTCCTTATGTTAACAGTAGTATTAGCAACAAACCAAACTGAATAACGAAAATCATCACAAGCATGATTGTTTTAAACAAAATGCTCAGTTCAAGCAGCATCTAAATTGTTATTCCTAATGCAGGAAATATGTTCAAACACATGAACTTTGATAGGATGCTCAGTTTTTCCCACATACACCTGTGGACATGGACATAAGATAACATAAATTACATTTGAACTTGAGCATGTTGAGAATGCAGATAGTCAAATAGGTTTATGTACTGGAATAGTAATGGTCTTCCCTTCAATGGCAAATTTTGCAGTGTCCACAGCGGTGGTGCCCAGGGGGTAGACCAGTGGGGGACCTGGATTTCCTCAAATCTGAGCGTACCACATGATCTTCGATGCTCTTTGTTTTACGATAGCCAATAGCGGGAGGTGAAGCGCATCCAGGAATATCATCGACCAGCTTCCATAAACTAAAGACCGCTTTTTTAATAGGCATAGATAAAGACATATAGTCCATGGCCCAATGTATGCCCTTATCTACTGCTTTATTGTCCTTGTTAAGTAAACTATTTCTCAGTACTAAAGCGGCCTGAGACCTAGCTTTTTCTACATTGTGTCTAGGATAGCTCCTGGCGGTGAATTGCCTGCATAGCTCACTGCTTTCCAGTTCACATTCTGTTTGACTAGTACAGTTCCTTTTAACACGTAAAAACTGGCCAAAAAGGATATTGTGCCGCAAATGAGTGGGATGAAAAGAACTAAAATGTAAGTAGGTATTTTTGTCAGATGGCTTTTTATAAGATTTCACCGCCAGTCTATGGTTGTCAGATTTATAAACAATGTCGAGAAAATTAATTTGCTGCAAGCTGAACTGCCAAAAGTATATTTAATATTGTCATCTAAGGAATTCATCCACTCACAAAACCTTATGATGGAATCTTTACTTTCATACAAAATAAAATAGTATTTCATACAAAATAAAATAGTAATCAATGTACCATTTTACTATTAATAATTGCTCAAAAAATGGGTTAAATTCTGAATTCATAATAAATTTAGTTTCCAATTCTGCCATATATAAATTTGCAATGGACGGTGCCACTGGAGAACCCATCGATACTTCTTTTACTTGGAGAAAAAATTGGTTGTCAAATCTAAAATATTTTTTTAAGAATTAAAACTAAGAGGTCTAACAAAAACTGAGTGGGGGGATTTGGATCAGATCTCTCATTAAGTTTCTTTTCAATAATCATCCAAGCGTCATCAAGCAATACATTTGTGTACAAAGAAATTACATCCATTGTTAAGAGGACTGTGTTGTTGTCACACTGCATGCCTTCTCTTAATTTTATAAACTCCATTGTGTCTTTGAGAAAAATTAGGCTAGTCTTAACATATCCAATCAAAAAGACATCCAAAAATGTGGCCAAAGATTCTAAAAGAGAATTGGACCCCGAAACAGTTGGATGTCTTTTGGGGGGGCGATCTGACTTATGAATTTTAGGGAGAACGTAAAACACTGGTACACGTGGGGGTCAACATGGAATGTTTCCTTCAAGAGTTGATAAGTAGTAATGTAAGTGACAGTTTTGAGTGTAATGGTTTATTATGATTTTTAAGCTATGTTTATAACTGAATGTGTATCTTCTTCCTTCTAGTGATAAGAATTGTGATTGCTACACGCTCAGATAAAACAAATATTGTGAAACGAATTGTTTACATTGCGCAGCATTCGTTAGCATGTGAGCGATAATAGAAGAGAATTTTCTACAGAATTACTTCAGTAAATGATTTTGCAACATAACTTTATTGACTCTTCGTTATTTTTGTCACTGATGTTGTTGGATTTCCCGTTCCATAACCTTAGCTACTATGCTGTGCCAATGCCATCCGTGGAAAAATGGCTGACACTTTTTAATCTCTGGCTAGCATTATGCCGTCAGTGGCAAAGTTGACATGAATTTTAAAATGATCTGAATGTGTAGATTTCACCCTTGCATATCGATCTCACATTCTGTTTCTGTTACATCATCATCTACAACACAAAAGTTTTAAGGCTAAAAAAATAAGTCTTGGCCCTGGCTATGCCCCCCCCCCCCCTTTGGTTTTCCGAGTTGCTTGGGAGGTTTTTCTCAAGGAGCTTGGAGCATCTTATTTTTTTTTCCATTTACAATTTTTTATTGACGTCATAAAGTTGCATACAAGTAATAAAACCAAGTCAATACACTTCAATTTTAAAATGAGATATAAAGTAAAAATAAATGTATAGTAATAACAACCGAGCATTGTCACAGCGATAGACTCAAACAGGTGCCTGGTTGTGAGTAAAAGTTGTGTAATATAACATTATCGATAATAAGATATAGAATCATACAACTTGTAGGTATTAAAGCGCAGAGAGTCAGTTGTTGTCAGACTTGCAAGTAAGAGTAAGTAGTCTATTGAGTTATAATATAGTCTGTGATATGTGAGCTTGGAGCATCTTAGCTTGTTTTACAGACCCAGATTTTTGGCCCTTGCGAGTGGCGGAGCGCCGTATACCTCTCTGAAGCCAGAGGATCCCCCCCCCCAAGCTGAAAGAAACAATGCCAAATATGGAACGTATTTAAATAAGGGGGGGAAAGACCAACATTTTACTCACATTTCTTGGGGAGACTTTGAGTTTTCATGGGCACGCGATGTCTTCAATGGTGTCATTTTGTTTTTTACTGTGGGAGCACAGGCTGGCCTGCTTGCACTGTTCAATAAAAGATATCTTCTTGGTATTGCAGATTGTCTGTGCGCAAGACAAGGAGCTGGTGCACCCGTTTGCTACGATATTCCCAAGGGTGGAGTACATCGCACGGGCTGGGTGGACCCGGGATGGGAAATAGTAAGTACATCTCCTGTGGGCTGTGCGCGCGCGTGTGCATGCACGTCTGAGCCCCCAGCATCTGTGGAGTGCCAGGGAGGGAACATTTCCGTCCCCCTGGATGCTGTTACTGATCTGCGTGATCCAATCTTAAATCCAAACTTCCTTTTTTGGGGGCTGACCCCTTCATCCCTCCCATCTGTTGGCCTGTAGGCTGCAAGACAGTCCTTAGACAGAGCACTGGAGGCATTAGACCATCAGTTGGCTCTTGGTTGGGCTTGTATGCTGTTTTTTGGCATTGCACCCCCTCTTGTAAAGGTAAAGGTTCCCTTGCTCGAAAGCCAGTCGAATCTGACTCTAGGGTTGCGGTGCTCATCTCCGTTTCAAAGCCGAAGAGCCGGCGCTGTCCGAAGACGTTTCCGTGGTCATGTGGCCGGCATGACTAAACACCGAGGCGCACGGAACGCTGTTACCTTCCCACCGAAGTGGTACCTATTTATCTACTTGCAATTTCTTGCTTTCGAACTGCTAGGTTGGCAGGAGCTGGAGCCAGAGACGGGAGCTCACTCCATCATGCGGCACCCGGGTCTCGAACTGCTGAACTACTGACCTTCCACAGCCTGCAGTTCAGTGTCTTAACCACTTGAGCCACTGCAGCTCCACGCACCCCCTCTTACCCTTCCGTATTATCTTCGTCAACTGATTGTCCCCAAATATCAGAGGGCTTTTCTTTTGGCCAGGCTAAATGCTTTCATCTCTGCCATTCCGGTGGGTAGAGTCCGTCGAGTACCCTATTCAGATAGGTTTTATGAATGAGAGTCTGGGACAACTGAAACTGTATCCCACGTTCTCTCGGGTTGCGTGTTGACTGCCTCTTTAAGAAATCTGTGGATACAGCTGGTGATAGTTTCCAAGGATTCCCTTGTTTCTGTGCCTTCTCTGCCAGCTGGTACTGATCCCTTGGCTGCGGCTAAATTTCTTTAATTAAAAAAAAAATCATTTAATCATATAATATTATAGTCTTTCAATACAACACAGCACAGTCATTCAAGTATACAGAATTGAAATATTGAAGAGTATAATAAGGTTACAAACCATCAGTAATCTGAGTGTGAACAACTAAACACAGTAAACTAGAAATACAAATGCAGGGCTGAAAGGTATGTTGAACAACACAGGTTTACACCAGCAGTGGAACAGTGTGTTAGACTAAGGAATACAATCTATTCCAGTTTGGTGTAGTGAGCCAGTTTGGTGCAGTGAGCCAGTTTGGTGCTTGGTGTAGAGAGCCGGTTTGGTGTAGTGGTGAAGTGCGCAGACTCTAATCTGGGAGAACCAGGTTTGATTCCCCACTCCTCCACTTGCACCTGGCTGGATGACCTTGGGCAAGCCATAGTTTTGGTAAGAGCTGTTCCTGAAAAAGAGCAGTTTCTGTCAAGAGCTCTCTCAGCCCCACCTACCTCACAGGGTGTCTGTTGTGGGGAGGGGAAGGGGAAGGAGTTTGTAAGCCGCTCTAAGACATCTTTGGTAGTGAAGGGCGGGGTATAAATCCAATCTCTTCTCTTCTTCTTCTTCTGTTCAGTGTGAGCAGAGAGGAGACAGTTGGCTTTTACTTAAAACATAGCAATCAGAGAGATCAGACCAAGACGTGAACATTAGAGGCTGCCATTTCTCTAGGAGACTGGATTGGCCTGAGGTGTATCTCTAAATTTATCCAGATCGTACGTAATTTTAACCAGGATGAAGAAATCCCATAACTTCAAGCACCATTCTTGCAGCAGTGGAATTGATGCAGGCTTCCAATGAGATGTAATAAGACATTTAGCCATGATTAACATTATCATAATTAGTTCTTGTTTTGCTTTGGAGATTTTGCCATTTCACTACAGATTGAGAAGAATTAATTCTGGGGATAGGGGAATCAAATGGCCAGTGATTAGATGGATTTGGTTTTGAATTTGAGTCCAAAACTTACCTATCAGTTTACAGGAGACCACCAGCCATGGTCAAAAGTCCCCCGTTCCCCACATTGTCTCCATCAGTGGCTAAATTTCTGACCGCAGCAGCTTCTATGCGGGGATGGAAAGAGAGGATGGTATTTATAAGATTGAGTCTGTCTAAGACTGCGAAAGGAAGATGCCACCAGGGTACTGTTTTATTTTTCCCGGGAGAGACTAATGCCGCCGCCTCAGTCATGCTTGCCCTTTCTCTCTTCCCCCTCCCCCCCGTTCCGCTCAGTGCCTGGGCCATGTTCCTGGACAGACCCCAGCAGCAGCTCCAAGTGGTCTTCCTCCCCCCCGCGCTCTTCATCCCTGTCCCGGAAAGCGAGGAGCAGCGCCTGGAATTCGCCAAAGCTGTGCCTGAAAACGTCCAGCCCTTCATTATCTACGAGGAGGTCACCGACGTGTGGATCAACGTAAGGGGCCAGCTGCGGAAGAGAAGCCTCCTCGCCCGAATCCAAGGGGCCAGAGGGAACAGGAACGGGCTAGGGGGGAACGGGCTAGGGGAACGTTGGAGGGAACGGGCTAGGGCACAAGGTGGTGGTGGTGGGGACAAGTTGGGATGCCAGCTCTCACCAGAGGAGGGGGGGTCCTAGCCAGGCAACCTGGTGACGTTACTTCCGGTGCATGTCGGAAGTGACCCCGTTGCGAGGTGGGGGGGACACTCTGGTATTGGGGCAAAAACTATGGTTAAAAACGTCTTCTGCCATAGAGTTTTTGCCCGAATACCAGAGTGTCCCCGCATCGCTGCCAGTAAAGTCCTCCCCCACACTCCTGGCTTCGACTTGACAGCCACTGTGGTGTCATGGTTAGAGTGTCAGACTAGGTTCTGGGCGAACCAGGTTCGAATTCCCACTCTGTCATGGCAGCTTGCTGGGTGGCCAGGGACCAGTTACCTACTCTCAGCCTACCTTCCCCGGGTGGTTGTGAGGGCAAATTGGAGGTGAGGGGGACAACGTAAGCCGCTTTGGGTCCCCACTGGGGAGGAAGGCAAGGCACAAGTGCAGTAAATGAACGAGGCAGTTTTTGCAAGCTGGATTGGCGCTCCGCCCTGCAGGGGCCGTCCCGGACTGTCCCTGTGCCTTCAGTTCAGCCCAGGAGGCTTTGCTATGGGAAGCTCCGGTGACTGAGGTCTGCCGAGCAGGGACCTGTGCAGAGACAGCTCTTTAGGATCCCCCCCCCTCCTCCCGTCCCTTCAGTCGCCTCGGCTGCAGGGTTTCCCAGCACCAAAGATGCTTTTTTTTTTTTAAATTCCAGAAGGCCCTTAAAAAATGGATCTCTCCTCCTTCACTCTCAGTAACTTTATGAGGATATTTTTGCCTGCAGCTTTTGTGTGTGGGATTGTGCGCAATCACATGCACAATTAGCCGCGCCATAGGCGCGAATGCCAGGCAGATTAAAAGGGCGCGATCAGACGCAAACATCCGGGAAGCGCCCTGGTACCCGTCGGCAACCCATTTTGCTCCGCCGCAGAAGCAGAGTAAAAAGACACCGGGGAAAGTCCGGTAGCAAGCGGGTTTGCTACGGGCCAGGAGCAGACTTTCTCCTGTGTGATTGCACCAGCGCGCTCTCATGGAGTCGGGATGGTCTGATCGGGCCATCCCGACTCCGTGCCGTTGTGTTTTCCCCCGTTTCGGTATGCGCGTCATTGCACACTGCATAGGGAGCACTCAGTGCGGAGATGCGAATCATCAATCCCCTGTTGAAGCGCACCAAAAACATGCGGCAAAAAAACCCCAAAACCAATTCACCCATGGTTGCATCTGATCACGCAGTGGCGGGCTGCTCCCGCAGCTCTCAGGGACTGTGTGATCACGCAACTGCAGGTCAAATTCCTATCATGGAGTAAATAGCCCTTCCCCCCCCCCCCCCCCGGTGTTATCTCATGCGTGTGACCGCAACCTTAGATTGCTGTAAGCAGGCCTAGCATTTTAGTAGCTGGGCAGCACATACACGTTCCGAAGAAGCAGGGGTCATTTCCTGCAGGAGCGCACAGGAGCGGAGCTCCGGCAGTAAAGAGCCCAGGGGGCGGGCACATTCAGCAAGCCCCACCCCCTGCTCCCAGCAGCCCTCAGTCAGAGCAAGAAGCAGTCAGGTAAGTTGCAGAGGCCCCCCCCAGCCCACTGCTCCAAAACAGTCCATTGGCACCTTTAAGACCAAGTTTTATTCAGGCACAAGCTCTCCCTCCTCTGTGAGGACAGATCTGCACGTTCCCCCCCCTCAATAGCTAGCAATCCAAAACAGTCCAGTGGAGCCTGAGCGGTGGGTGTTGCCTTCTGACACACTTCCGTTGATGTCCGGGGGTGTGGCACATGCAAACAAGTTATGCTAATGAGTTATGCTAATGAGCTCCTGCACCTCTTTTTCTACGAAATGACCCCTGCGAAGAAGTTTTTAAAAGGCAGCGCTCTGGTCAGTGGGGAGGGACGTAACACGCCACACAGCATGCACGAATGGAATCTCAGGTGCAGCTCCAGTCGTTTAAAGGAAAAGCCTCTGCCCGGGAGCCGGGAAAGCTGTTGTAGGGATAGAACCGAGCTGATGAAATGGACGGTGTGGGATAGTTTTGTTGGGGGGGGGGATGGCACAGGGAGAGTCGGCTGGTGAAGGAGGAGCAGGCAGAGGTGTGTCCGGAAGAGCCGGGCAGAAGGGTGGGGCCTTGGAAGGATGAGGAGCAGTGGGTTGGGGGGTGGTTAAACACCCCTGCCATGCCAAATAGGAGGAGGATATTAAGGAAGCAGAGTCAGCCAATGGAGGGTGGCGGAGGGCAGGAAAAGCCAGCTGTTGGCCTTGTATTGGTCACAGAATCCGGCACTTAAAGATTTTCCTGCAGTAATTAAAATGATATAATCACAGAGCTGGAAGGGGCCATACAGGCCGTCCAGTCCAGCCCCTGCTCAGTGCAGGATCAGCCTAGAGCATCCCTGACAAGTGTGTGTCCAGCCGCTGCTTCAAGACTGCCAGGGAGGGGGAGCGCATCAGTGTTCCCTCTAAGCCGAGCTAGTGTGAGCTAGCTCACAGTTTTTTAGCCTCTGGCTCACAGATTTTTGTCTTAGCTAAGGAAGGAGGGCTCCAGAGCAAACTCATTTAGGCAGCGGCCAAATCGCTCGCTCACAACTTTTAATGCCGGTTGCTCACAAAGTAGGATTTTTGCTCACAAGGCTCCACAGCTTAGAGGGAGCATTGGAGCTCACCACCGCTCTAGGCAGCTGATTCCACTGTTGCACAACTCTAGACTGTAAAAAGGTTTTCCCTGATATCGAGCTGGTGCCTTCCCGCCCTTCGTTTAAACCCATTCTTGCGAGTCCTGTCCTCTGCTGCCAATAGGAACAGGTCCCGGTCCTCCTCTGACAGCCCTTCAAATACTTCAAGAGAGCAATCATGTCCCCCGTCAACCACCTTCAAATACTTCAAGAGAGCCAGTTTGGTGTAGTGGTTAAGTGCGCGGACTCTAATCTGGGAGAACCGGGTTTGATTCCCCACTCCTCCACTTGCACCTGGCTGGATGACCTTGGGCAAGCCGTAGCTCTGATAAGAGCAGTTCTCTCAAATCTCTCTCAGCCCCCACCTACCTCACTGGGTGCCTGTTGTGGGGAGGGGAAGGGAAAGGAGTTTGTAAGCCGCTCTGAGACTCCTTCGGGTAGTGAAGGGCGGGATATAACACAGGGTGTCTGTTCTGGGGAGGGGAAGGGAAAGGAGTTTGTAAGCCGCTCTGAGACACCTTTGGGTGGTGAAGGGTGGGGGTATAAATCCAATATATTATTATTATTATTATTATTTTACCTCACAGGGTGTCTGTTGTGGGGAGGGGAAGGGAAAGGAGTTTGTAAGCCACTCTGAGACTCCTTTGGGTGGTGAAGGGCAGAGGGCTTCCTCATATATACCACACTAGCCAGTAAAACTGGCTCCAAGGGCGATTTCCGGTCGATGGATAGACTCAATCATTTCTTAGTTTGCATTAAAAACAAAACAAAAACAGAACCAAGTTTCTAGCCCTTATGCTTGAAAAGTGCCGGGTTTAAATCTCAGGAACCAGTGGGCTAGGCACTCTGCATACCCTTCTGTGCCAAAGCAGGTGCTGTCAGGGTGATGGAAGCAGTCCGAGGGGGGGGGGCACAGGAGCCCACTGCCTCTTCTAGGAATGGGCTTGATTCTTGGATTATATGATGCAGACAGTAACGGTGATGATGCTTAGCATTTCCTGGCCCTCATTTCTAGTTCCTGACCGTTGCTCAGAGCGGTCCCATAGCAGGCGTCTCCTGGATGGCCGGGGTGTAAAGAAGTTGTCACTCCAGGGGACTCGCTCTGGTGGTGCTCTTCGTCCTGGCCGTGGTGGGCTGTTTGCTGCACAAAGGAGGGAACTCCACATTCAACAAATAAACAGTTCTCTTTATTTGCTAAATCCAAGGACGAAGCGGGAGAGGAGACCGGAAGACACGATGGCAGTCCCGTACTTAGTGCAAATAAAAGCCAAAATTACACAGCAGTTACCACCAACCCATAGCCCAAGCCTTCAAATGAATTCCTCATTCAAGGCTCCCGAAGAGAGACGAAATCCAAAGGTCTCTCGGCTCTCCTCCGATTTCCTGCTTTGCTTTGCTTTCTCTTGTCTGAGAACTAATGGCTGATAGTAACCACACCAACACACCAACGGCTGATAGTAACCACACCAACTCAACTCACTCTCCATCCACCCTATCTAGTAAGCCATCTCGCCTTAATTGCTGGCTCAGACCTTATAAGGGGTTTACTCTACAGGGCCTAAGGAAAAGAGGAAATCATAAAAGGCTTGAACACTGCTGCCACAACCCAAAACCCATACGCATAACATTTAATCCTTTACACGGGGAAGAGATGGCTCGTGATGTCAGTCTCCCCCACTCCCCCCCCCGCATCCTTGCTCTGTGCTCTCCAGCCCTGCTCCGTGATGCTCTGTTCTTATTGTCACAGACGTCCCCTTTTGAGGAGGCTAAGTCAGGTCAGAACCTGGGAAGCCGTCAGGATATCCCGTTAACCTCAGTAGCCAGCCTTGAGCCCACCAGAAAATGGGGAGGAAGTATTTGAAAAGCTGTCAGAGGAGGGCAGGGAGGTGTTCCTGTTGACAGCAGAGGATTCAAGAATGGGTTTAAATTGGGGGGATGTCTACTAATGGTGTTTTGGCTGAGTACTTTTCTAGCTTGACTATTTCTGAGCATCGGAGGGCATTTATGTTAGCTCATTTTAATGTTCTTCCCTCTGCAGTACTGTCGTCGTTGTTGTTCAGTCGCACAGTCGAGTCCGACTCTTTGCGACCCCATGGATCAGATCACGCCAGGCCTTCCTGTCTTCTGCTGTCTACTGTACTGTACTGTACTGTACTGTACTGTACCGGAGGTTTAAAAAAATGCCATACTCCTCTAGGCTTTGTTCTTGTGGTCTGGGGGAGATAGAAAGTACTGAACATGTTCTCCTGCACTGTATATTTTACTGTGATATTTGAACCTCTGCTACAAATGCGCAAGGGTCAATCTGATGTTTGCAAGATGGGTTTTTTTACTATCTTCCCATAACTCTGAGATCACTGGTTTGTTGGCTAAATTTCTATGTTGTGCCATTAAGAGGAAAGGAATGTTTCAACTCCAGCAATGAAGGTTGTACCCTTTATCCCTTGATGATCTATGTTTTCTTGTGATGCCAATAAAGGTAGCTGATGATGATGATGAATGGATTTAAATTAAGGGTGGAAAAGGTATCAGTTGGATATCAGGATTTTTTTATTTTTTTTTTACAGTAAGAGTAGTTTAGCAGTGGAATGAGCTGCCTGGGGAGGTGGTGAGCGCCCCCTCACCGGCAGTCTTTAAGCAGCGGCTGGACAAAACCCTTGTCAGGGATGCTCTAGGCCAGTGATGGCGAACCTTTTAGAGACCGAGTGCCCAAACTGCGACCCAAAACCCACTTATTTATCGCAAAGTGCCAACACGGCAATTTAACCTGAATCCTGAGGTTTTACTTTAGAAAAAACAACTCCTACATTAACTTAAGATGATCCAAACAAAGGAAGGAAAGCAATCCCAAATGCTTTCATTGACTTAAAATTATTTGGCAGAGAATTCGACACTTTAATGACGGTCTGGGCCTGGCTGGGGCGATGGCACCGGGTGCCCACAGAGAGGGCTCTGAGTGCCACCTCTGGCCCCCGTGCCATAGGTTCGCCACCACTGCTCTAGGCTGACCCTGGACTAGATGGCCTGTATGACCCCTTCCAACCCTGTTCTAGAATCCATTAACGGGATTATTCTCCTACAGAATAAAAAGAGGATCTGAAGCATTGCGTTTTTATGGCTTTTTTATTATAAAAGCATATCTATCTTAAAAACAAGCGGCAGGTTTTAAGGAGCAAGCACGGGTAAAAGTCCAGCAGTCTCTTTGGCACCGTTTCAGGCTTTTTCTTTCTCGATCCCGCCTCCTCTTTTTAAGCTCAGAGTTCATGAAAACTTTCTGCAAAGCTTCACTGAACAACCCGTTAGGATGGTGTGACTCCATTGGCATAAATAATTCCAGCAGGGAAGCTTAGCTCCTCCAGACAGGGGCGGCGTGGCCTCCGAAAACTCCACAGCCCGTATTTTCAGAAATGCTGAGCAAGGCTGTCGCGCACAATGGGAACTCTGAAGTCCTCAAAAACCAGAGCAGTCAGGGCATCATGGAAGTTTTGATCAGGCATCAAACTGTGGCCAGCCACGACATTATCTCCCCGCCGCTGCATTCAGTCGCCTCCCCCTTTCTCTCGTCGGTAGGTCCACGACATCTTTTACCCTTTCTGCCAGCTCGAGGGGAGGGAGGACGAGCTCTGCTTCATCCGCGCCAACGAATGCAAGACCGGGTTCTGCCATCTGTACAGGGTCACGGTCCTCCTCAAGAGGGAGAGCCACGACTGGACGCGGCCCTATGTCCCGAGCAAAGGTGAGCTCCCAGATCACCCCCACCCCCCCCCCCCCCCCCCCCCCCGTATGTCTCACCTTGGAGGTCCCTGCCTGCTGTTTGGCCTCTGGCTCATGTTCCTTTTCTTTTTACAGGGGACTTCAAATGCCCGATCAAGGAAGAGGTCGCCCTAACCACTGGGGAATGGGAAGTTCTGGCCAGGCACGGATCCAAGGTATGAGGTAGCCAGGTAGCATTCCCCACCACGTTTTCCTTGGCGCATCTTCTCTTTGGAAAATCCTTTATCCTGCCCCTTCCCGAAGGCGCAGGGCAGTAGCAGCCACTGTTCCCTCCAAGCTGAGTTAGTGTGAGCGAGCTCACAGTTTTTTAGCTTCCAGCTCACACGTTTTTGTCTTAGCTCAGGAAGGGAGGGCTCCAGAACAAACTAATTTATGCAGAAGCCAGATTGCCGGCTCGCAACTTTAATGCCAGTAGCTCACAAAGTAGAATTTTTGCTGACATGACTACACAGCTTAGAGCGACCATTGGTAGCAACAGAAGCAAACTGATTTGAAGAAGAGCTCCCCGAAGAGAATTGGTAATCGTCCCACAGGTTTACGGGAGGGGCCGTGGCTCAGTGGCAGAGCATCTGCTCGGCATGCAGAAGGTCCCAGGTTCAATCCCCGGCATCTCCACTCTAAAAAGACCTGGCAGCAGGTGATGGGAAAGACCTCTGCCTGAGACCCTGGAGAGCCGCTGCCAGTCTGAGCGGCCCAGTGGTCTGCTTCAGTATAAGGCAGCTTCACGTGTCCTCTGGGTGTCAATAGGACCAGTTGTTTTACTTTGTGTTGGCTGTTTTGGGGGTTTTTTGGTGTTGAATTTTATTGTTGACGTTCTTTTATCTCCCTTGCCCAACTTGAGGCCTAAGAGAGGTCAGCTTAACCTTTTACACTGGCTTGAACGTATGCATCAGACACTGACGTGCGAGCCCTCTTTCTGCTTGTTGTAATAAGCACCAGACCCAGGCTAGCCCAATCTCATCAGGTCTTAGCAGCTAAGCGGGGGGTTGGCCCTGATCAGTACTTGGATGGGAGACCACCATGGACGTCCAGGGTTGCTGTGCAAAGGCAGGCAATGACAAACCACCCCCTATGTGTCCGTCCTGACCTGGACGGCTCAGGCTTGGCCAGCCTCATCAGATCTCAGAAGTTAAGCAAGGTCAGCCTCGGTCAGTACTGGGATGGAAGACCACCAGGGTTGGTAGAAGCTAGGATGTGGGTAGCAGTTTTTAGATATTGGTTGAAACTAGCCTACAACCAATGTTCCCTCTAAGCTGCAGAGTCCTGTGAGCAAAAATTCTCCTTTGTGAGCGACTGGCATTAAAGTTGTGAGCGAGTGATTTGGCTACTACATAAATTAGCTTGCTCTGGAGCCGTCCTTCCTGAGCTAGGACAAAAATCTGTGAGCCGGAGGCTAAAAAACTGTGAGCTAGCTCACACTAACTCATCTTAGAGGGAACACTGCCTACAACGAGTACGGGATTGCTCATTTGATGTTAAAAGATGAATTTACACCGCCATGGCTCATTATGCTGAGGAAGAATTTAGGTGGTTATGGACTATCAGAACAGCATCTATGGTCTGTGCATCAGGACCAAGCGAGGTCTGTGGTAAAACAAAGGATTCTACATGGCGAAAGACAACCCGGGCTGAATAGAATGAAGAGTGATATAATTGATTTGAACACCCTAAACAGGCCTTTATTGATCCCTTATGTAAATAGTTTAGGGAATCCCACTTATAGGAGGGCTTTCACTCTGCTAAGATATGATGTGCTTCCTACTGCAGTACTGGAAGGCAAGTATAAGAAGACATCTTAAGAAGAAGAGATTGGATTTATACCCCTGCCCTTCACTACCCAAAGGTGTCTCAGAGCAGCTTGCAAACTCCTTTCCCTTCCCCCTCCCCACAACAGACACCCTGTCAGCAATGTTCCCTCTAAGCTGTGGAGTCTTGTGAGCAAAAATTCTGCTTTGTGAGTTACTGGCTTTAAAGTTGTGAGCCAGTGATTTGGCTACTGCATAAATCAGTTTGCTCTGGAGCCAGCCTTCCTGAGCTAAGACAAAAATGTAT